TGCCTCGGAAATACGACACCTTGCATGCAGAGTCCAACGATAATGCCCCCAGCGCATATGCGGCGGCGATTTCGCCCGAGGAATGACCGATCACCATTCGTGGCCTCAGTCCGAAGGATGCCAGCAGTTCCACCAAAGCGATTTGCAATGCAGTAGTTAGGGGCTGCGCATACTTGGGATCGTTGATATCCAATGTATTGTGAGGATCGAGCAAAGCATCTGGATAATAGCAACATGAATCAGCAATTGATTCCAGGCCTCAAACTGTCGTAGGGAAGGCCAAGAAGATTTATCATGGAAACAGAGGGCACTGACCGTAGATCGACCACTCGCTCCCAAAGCTGCTATAGGCCTCCTGGCATTGATCCATGGTAAAGCGATAGATGGGGTACTTGAGGAGGTCTACTCCCATTCGCCGATATTGCGCTCCCTGACCCGTGAATATATACCCCAAGCCCAATGATTTGCTTTCATTAACACGGATTGGCTTGGATATGGCGGACGGCAATTGATCGCGTAGGAAGTCAAGTGAGCCATCAGCCACTGCAAAGGACCTCCAGTTTAGCTTGCTTCTCCTTTGCGCCAACATTGTGGCTAATCGTTTGACGAAAGAACCTTCTTCATCTCGACCGCGGCGAAAGGATGGAAGGCTTTGGAAGTACCGCGTGTAAGCATTTGCCATCCGCTGGATGCCTGCTTCGTCTGAGGTGGAGAAGATGAGAAGTTGAGATGACAATCCATCTGCTGGTTTTGGCTCGGACGTCGGCGAGGCAAGGGACCCCTCCAATCCATTGATCTCGACTGTTGTTCTGCACAGCCCGTTCTCGATGGTACCACTATGGGAAGGGTCCGGGATAGTGCAGTGGGAGGCCGAGGAAAGCAGCCCGCGCTCGAGAAGATAGTGGTAGGCGTCATCAAGAATGGCATGGGAATTCGAGCCCCCGAAGCCAAAAGAGGCCACAGAGGCACGCCGTAGCCCCTTTGTTGGCCACGGAATGAGATCAGTGGGAACCCTTAGGTTGAGGAACTCGGCATCGATGTTGGGGTTTAGATGCTCGAAGTTGGCATTGGGTGGAATGAGCCCTTTTTCTAACACTAGAATGGTTTTGACAATGCCAGCAATGCCGCTGCCTCCTTCGAGATGTCCAATGTTCGACTTCACTGCTCCTCTGTTTCAAGATGTGAGTAAGTGATGCCTGAGTGATGTAGACCGCAACTCACATGTACAGAGGATCTTCCGGAGAGCGAAAGGCTCGGAAGACGCTTCCTATGGCATCGGCCTCGATGGGGTCTCCTATCGCTGTACCAGTCCCTGTGAAACGGTAAACATAGCTGGTCAGCGATATCATTTCAGGCATTATGCACTAGGAGCTGTGAAGTACTCCTTTGGACAAAGCTTACCATGCGCTTCGAAGAATCTCGTCTCCAGGCGATCCAAATCGGCTTTCTTGTATGTGTCCAAGATCAAGCGGGCCTGGGAATCTTTACTCGGCTGGGTTAAGCCTGGTGTGTGGCCATCCTGGTTCGACCCCGTAGAGCGGACCACGGCGCGGATGATGTCTCCATCACGTACCGCATCCTCCAGCCGCTTGACGACCAACACACCCACTCCTTCACCGCGCCCATAACCGTTGGCACGTGCGTCGAAGCTAAAGCATCGGCCGTCGGGTGAGTTGAAACTCATGTTCATGAGGGAAAGGATGGGTTCAATGCCAATCAGAATGTTAGATCCGGTCACCAGGGCCATGTTCGAGTCCCCGTTTCGCAGACTCTGGCACGCCAGATCCAACGCCATCAGGCTGCTGGAACAGGCTGAGTCAAGGTTCACAGAGGGGCCCCGGAGATCGAAGAACCAGCTCAGCCGATTTGCGAGCATACACGCCGTAGATCCTACTGCTGTGTACTTGGGGATAACATCTGGGTCGTGCGCGATGATGTGCCTGTAGTCGTCGGCCATGCAGCCGTTGATGACCGCGGTCTTCGTACCAGTCACGGCTTCCATAGGTATCCCAGCTATATCGGCAACTGTTAACCCCTGTCTATAGGCTCTGCTGAGGCATAGACATCTAGGGGGGAAACTTTGTCGTACATACCATTCTCCAGCGCCCGATATGCAGTCTCCAGCAATAGGCGAGCTTGAGGATCCATGGCACACGCTTCGGTCCCCGAAATGCCAAAAAATGCGGCATCGAATAACCCACAGTCCTCTTTCATAAAATGTGCACCTCGTACAAACCCCTGTCATCGGCGGTCAGGTATCTTGGACCAGAGGTAGGGAATTGTAGGGGTGCTTTAGGTGAAATCACCTTGGAGCTGCGGCCAGCAAAGGCCTCTAGATTGAACCGCTCTGTCGGCCATTCCTCCATAACACATTGCTTTTCCGCTAGCATCGACCAGAACCCCTCCGGCGTGTCACCATCGCCAGGAAACTTGATGGAGAATCCCACGATTGCGATGTCTTGCATGATGATGTCCTAGATTTATTTTCTCTAGAGTTTGGGGTTTTGGGGGGAGAGCAATTGATCAAGGTCTGGTAAGGTTTCCTGCTTTTTCACAATATTCTTACATTGCAAGGGAATACTGTATCTACAACAACGTCCGTGATGTTTAAATACCTCGACCACAACACAGCCCCACTGGTAATACAAATTTGATATCCTCTCAGGGGGGGCTTCTCAGGATTCCGGCTGAGTACAGCGCAATGATCCACAAAGACATCGTTGGTGTATACTCCAGATTCGTAAGCACAAGGCTTATGGGAAACCAATGAAGCAAGAAGCTGGAGCGATATTACAACTTCGCAGCTACTACCAGTGAAGAAGGCCAGGGTATCACTACCCTATTGGTTCTTATGATGAAACCGATGATCGCCTGGGAGACGATGTGGAGGTTTGGAGGTGATTACTGCAGCAGTGACAAATCACCCTGGTGGCCGTAGTGCGTTATGTACAGTATTACCCTTATAATACCCACCGGAATTGCATATAAGGGGACTAAAGCAGCCCATAGTAAGCCCGCAGCACTGTTGTTTCCTTCCACTCACCACTTTACACCTCCTGGTCCCCTGTTAACAGACATATGGAAAACACCACATCCATTGCATCACTCCGCTATCGAAGAAAATAAAGTCAACGAAAACAAACATGCGTTTTCTGTGTCTTCATGGCATGGGCACCAATAGTCGAGTAAGCGAAAATTAGTAGAAGGACCTACGACGGTGGTATGACCCCAAGCTGACAGCGCAAGCAACAGATCTTCGAGCTACAGACTGGTACGTTGCCACCTACCAGACTACCTTGTCTCTAGAGAGGGGCCTGCGTTACCATGGTCAGAGAAACCGGCTAAACAGTGTGATGCCAGCAGCTGCTATCCGCCAGGGTCTAGGAGACGGTCACAGCTATGAATGGTTAGACGGATCAATCAAGACGGAAATGGCCCCAGGTGAGATTCCAATTTAGTATCCTCCTTCCTGTACCCCTCTCCAGATGCCGGGATCAAGGGCCACAGAAGCAAGTCAGGCCTAATTTAGTAGCCCTGCAAGGTTGCAATGTCGAAGCTAAGCGTGAGAAACCCCACCAGGGATGCAGGACCTTGTCGCGCCGGATGATGAATTCCTCATGTACGTTGATGACACGGCGGAGACCCGCCGACAGGTCCTAACGGATATGGACAATTTCCTTGCCATGGAGACAGAACCGTTCGACGGGCTTTTGGCCTTCTCACTGGGTGCGGGCTGTGGTGCCAGCTATCTGATCCACAAAATGCAGCAGGGCACCCCGACCAACCGGCTTCCATTTCGCTTTGCCGTATTCTTCTGCGGCGCACCAGCGCTATTTGGGCGACCAAATCGGGAGACGGTTGCTGCGCCGAGCATGGATGCTGAGATAATTGGCATAGACAAGGCCAGGGAAGGCGACAGCGGAAAGCCGTCGGAGGTGATCGAAATCCCCACCGCGCACATTTGGGGGCGGAATGACACGCTATGGGGCTATGGCCCTGAGCTGAGCCGGTGGTGCAAGGATGAGAATCGAGAAATCGTCGTGCATGATGGTGGACATGAGATCCCAGGGCCACGCGACCCTGTCACGTTGGCCAGGTGCCTTCAGGCAATCAAGCGAACGATCGCAAGGGCGGGAGGTGACGAGTAAGCAAGCAAGTAAGCAGTACATGTCCATGTATCTAGTGATGGAGGGTACTGTGTAGATCTTCGTCTTTCTCATCATAGCAGACAGGATACACAGCCTTGTCGAAGGAAATATCTGCCTCGCATCAAGTAAAGTGGCTTGTCGATCATGGCCCGGTCAAGGTCTCATTGGTTCATTGGTAAGGCTGGCAAAGACCGGCTGTCGGAGGATGCAAGGAATATGCAAGTGCGGAATGCTATCAAGGAGCTGAATTCATTTTGCTGGACATAGTTACAAAGTAAGCACTAAGTAGTCGAGGTTTGGATCTCATCGCCTAGACAATATGTACTTCTTATTCCACTCCTTGCTTGGCGCCCATTCACGTAGATCTCATGTTATGAGCGCACCGTACCCCGCGTAACTGAGTTTTCATTAGCAAAAGTCCCCTGATAATCACGAACTCAGCCCCACCAGCCTTGAAATAGATTAAATGTACCCCTCAAGGCTGCCACTAGTATCCAAAGTATAGGATCTAAAGGACTCTCTTCGCCCTCATGAAGATTAGTCGGCCCGAGCCACGCTCCTTCCGCAATCCTGACTGCGAGTTCGTCGGTGCAAGGACCAACGGCTGTTCATCCAACACGAACAACCGTTCACCTTGGCGCTAACACATAAGCAAAAATCTTTACAGGTTGAAAGGAGTATGTTACTACAACACCCAAATTTCTTGCAGGGGAGTCAGATGGATTACGCCATTGTCTACGAGGAATGCTCCCAGCCGCTCATGTTGAACAATCCGATGACTTCGAGACACGCACTAAATTCTGACACACAGGAGACGGGAAGAAGGCGTTGTTCTCACAACGAATGAAGCTCTCATACACCCTCCCCCAACCGTTCTGCGCTGTAAGACAGATCACTTGTGGACTGGTCAATGGTCCCTGGTGCACTGGCGAACGATGTCAGCGGATACTGGTCCGGTGGGCCTTTTCGCTGCCGATGGCGCTCGTGCTCCTGATGCTCCTGCTCCTGCTGCTGTTGCTGTTGCTTGATCTTGCTTCCCTCCTTGGGAACCTCCATCATGTAAGAATCGCCTGAAAGGCCGCCGCCCCCGCGACCGCGACGGTGCGAAGGGCCCCCACGACTGGCCACGAGATTTTGGAGCGAGCTCCCCCACTTCGTCATCATCTTGTTCTGACGCAGCCTCTGGAAAAACTTTGGGGAGGAAGGGAGACATCCGGCGATGATACCGGCCACCAACTCGGGCAGGGTCCATAGGCCGGCCATGTAGCTGTAGTAGGCAATGTTGTTGGTCGTCGTAAATAGTAGCACGGCATACGCAAGCCGCGTGATAGCTGATGCACAAGCTCTGCTCGGCTTATGTGAGAAGGAATGCTAACCATTAGAATCGGCCACATAGGGAAAAACGTACAGAATTCCGAATAGGAAGACGGTCGAGACGGCAAGCTTTCGGCGGAGAGCCATCTGAAGTTGCCAGATGCGGGTTTGAGGCAGGACCAAGATGATCAGATCGAAGAAACCATTCACTGAGCTCGCAATCACATTCAGTAGACGGACGTTCATGCACTTGCCAGAGATCAGAACATCCCACGCAGCCGCTATCGGACGGCAGGAGAAGATCTCCACGAAGGTACTGATCACGTAGAATAGGAAATTAATCCAAATCACGGTATGGCAGAACCAGTAGAAGGTGTCCTTCCTGTGACAGAAGATCTCGACCAGCTGCAATAGGATGGATGCTTTGATAAAGAAAATGCAGATACCATACAAAACCGACCCAACACGAAAGTACTAAAGAGACAAAGGCCAAGGCAGGATTAGCTTAATACACACCTGGGGGTTCATGCATCAGAGAGTGAGACTCAAACTCACGTAGAGCATTTTAATGAAGTCTCTCATGGTCATATTCCACTGATCGACCCCTGGGGCGACATTGCCTAATAACCAAGCTGGAACGAAGTACCCTATGAAGCCGAGCTGTCCAATTTCACCAGTTAGATAACCATTTATAACAATGTTGGGTTGTTATATTACCCAGGCGATGATCATCATATCTGTATCATAGGTCAGAAGGGAAAACAAAGACGGCGGTGAGGATTCTTCTTGGAAGAGAGAAGTGCTCACAGTCAGACATTCTGACGTGTCGTACGACAAACGCTTTGGTATATATACGAATGATAAAGCACAAAGAGGCCACGATAAAGAGGATGAGGTGAACAATACGCCCGACGGTATGCATATTGGGGGGATCTGAGAGGTTGGGAGTCTTCCCAGCAGGAGGGTAGCCAGCTGGACCATTAAGAATGGCTTCGCGTTGTGCGGAAGTGAGGGCGACCATAGTGTCCGGGTTGTAGTAAACCTAAGAGCCTAGGGGAGGTGTAGGAAAATTGAAGACTCTGGGGTTGGTGAAACATATATGGCATTGGTGCCTGAATATGTATTCCATTGTCAGAGCCGGAAACCCCTGTGAGCATGCATGCCAGTTCATAGTAACTTCATACTGCATCCTTTTGCGTCAATGCGGAATCGTAGTAGCTGACCCCCCTTGGCCTGGCCTTTCCCCAATCATCACTAAGTACGCCGCACATACTAAATATATTAGTGTCCATATCCCTTCATGAGAAGCGCTGTTTGATCTTGATTCAAATTGACATTGTGAGGCTGTGCACACATGCTGTATTGCTGAATATCACAAACCTATATTTCGCCCCCAAGATTCCACACGTCGATTCTCTTAACTTATTTTTGCCTTTCCTTCGTTCTCTTTTATTCGGTTGTCGTCGGTATGTCGGGAAATAGGAAATCAGTCGAGGTCATGACAACAGGATACAAGGTGGAGGTGGAGGCAGAAACGACGCCTTCTACACACATTCAAGGCGCAAGACTTCACACAATTACTGCTGCGTATGTGATTTCAAACTGATACCATCAATGCCAACAGATGTTCTGACCGTCTAGCCTTGCCGTTTGTCTATTTCTAACTAATCTGGAAATCCCGATCGTGACAACCGCCTTGGTTCGAATCACCGGGGAATTGGGAGGTCTGAATAAAATATACTGGATTACTACAGCGTATATGCTAGGATATGCCGGACTGCTTGTCATCTCGGCCAAGTTCAGCGACATATTTGGCCGCAAGTCATGCCTACTGGTCGCTGTTTTTCTCTTCGTGGTGTTTTCCGGGGCTTGCGGGGCAGCCCAAACCATGGAGCAACTGTAAGTCGACATACCTTGTTCGGGCCCTTTGATAGTCAATGACCGTGTGCTGCACTAGGATCGTCTTTCGTGCTTTTCAGGGTGTTGGCGGAGCGGGCAACTATTCTCTCTGTGCTGCCATTCTGCTGGACCTGGTCCCGACAGAGAAATATGCGACGTACATGAGTTCACTATCCCTGGTATACGCGATATCCTTACTATTTGGACCTCTGATGGGAGGGGGTATCTCCGACTCGTCCACATGGCGCTGGGTGTTTCTGTTGAATGTCCCTCCGGGCGCACTGGCTGGGATAGGGCTCGCTCTGGTCCTGCCCAATCGGTTCCCCTATCACAACGAACCATCCAAGGAGAAGACAATGTCATCCGTGCTGGCATCATTGCGGCAAATGATTCAGAGAGTCGACTTACTCGGCTCCAGCTTGCTGTTAGTTGCAACAATTCTCCTGGTAACGGCTTTGGAGGAAGCCAATGAGGAATACACTTGGAATTCGGCTTTTACCATTGTGCTGCTTATCATCTCCGGACTGGCGTGGATCGCCTTTCTACTGTGGGAAAGACGGGTGACACTCTATTCTAAGCACATTGAGCCGGTCTTTCCGTGGAGGTTCGTTTGTAACCGAGTCTGGGTCAGAATGTTGTTGTAGGTCTTCTTTCTCTGCCATTGTTAACCCGGCTATCTCATTAACTGGCATCTCTGCCACCCTAAGAAATTCCGTCTGTCTGGGGGCAGTGTGGTTCTCGACCATGTTCCAGTTACCCCAGCGGTTCCAAATCGTCAACCAGCTTACGGCTTTCCAAGCGGCTGTCCGATTCATCCCTTTCACCGTGGCGAGTCCCGTGGCATCCGTCCTGGCACCGGCTATCGGAAAAGTGTTCAAGATTCCGCTGCTATACCTGGTAATCTTCGCGTCTTTGCTGCAGGTGGTTGCTTACGTCCTTCTGTGCACTCTCCCCGACTCACTGTCGATCACCTCGGCGCAGTATGGATACCAGGTCCTGGCCGGCTTCGGGTGTGGCATCAACATCACCCTGCTGATCCTGATGACACCCTTCACGATCGAAAAGCGAGACAATGCAGTCGCCATGGGGGCCATTACGCAGTTCCGAGTCATGGGTGGTTGCATTGGAATTTCTGTGCTGACGGCAGTGGCCAATGGTTACCTGCAGTCTCACTTGCAGCAATGGCTCACCCCGACCGAGATGCAGTTGGTCCTGCACTCCGCGGAAAGCCTTTCCACTCTCCCAGCGTCAGCACAAAGCCTAGTTCGCGGGACCTTCTCGGCCAGTTACAATCTGCAGATGAAAATTTTGGCGGGGTTCGCTGGGGGCCAGGTTCTGGCCTCGGTGCTTATGTGGCAGAGGGAACAAATCATCGTCTAATGTTAGTTAAAGAACTTACTAGGGTGTTGAGAATTTCAGGCAAACACAAGGCTAGACTAACTTCCCGTGGGGAATGTCGGAGTGTCGATCTTAGTGTCGGATTGCTACGAAGTAAGCTGGCTGACTGCCTGCATGGGTGGGGAGTTACTAGTTTCAGCTACTGGGTCAGTTAAATGTTAGATTCAGCAGCTCTCCATCCCGAGGCCTTGAGTTATATAATATCTACTACTACTAGTATAATGAACCCTTACCTGAAATAGCATGTGAACAGGGGTCCATCTCCCCTTCTTTGTTCTCTAGTGCAAGGCGCAGCCTCCAGCGTGCATCAAGCTAGAGCCCTTCCCCGCCGTCATCTTCCCCTCATTCAATTCCAATCCCATCTCATATCGTCCCCTCCTCGAGATTTACTAGTATCCTGTGCTTTTCCTCCTTTCCCCTCTCTATCCTCCCACCGTTCCGACAACAAGCCACAAAAAAAGCAGTGAAAACTCGCCTTTTCTACAGTCCACTGGTAATCCATTATCTGCATTGCTCCCACCTCGCCACAACCACAGCCCCTGCTTCTACTTCTCATGGCGGGTACCAGACTGAACGGTGGAATCGCCCTTGTGACTGGTGTAAGTCGGTTGTCGCTATTTTGCTTCCATCGTATCGAGAACCCACAAAAGCGAAGATTAAATCAAATGTGACTGAGAACTCAATCTGCAGGCCGCATCAGGCATTGGGAAAGATACCTGCTTCGCTCTCGCCGAAGCCGGCGTCGAAGCAATCCTCCTGGCGGACCTGAACCTACCTACAGAAACCACTCTCCAGGAGTGTCAAAAGTTCGCCTCCCACCCCAAATTCCGTGCCCTGTCGGTAGTGGTAGACGTCACCGATGAGGCCAGCGTCGACAATATGGTCCAGCGCGCCGTGAGCGAGCTCGGGCGTATTGACTACTGCGTGCACTCCGCCGGCATCTCTGGGAACTCGCGCACCCGCACCGCAACCCTGAACGTCGACGCATTCGACCAATCCATGAGAACCAACTCCCGCGGGACTATGCTGGTGCTGCGGGCCGTCTCCCAAGCCATGTCGCTGCAAGAGCCACGCTCGTACACCAGCACGCGCAGTAACACGACCCGCAGTCTGGGCCGCGGGTCCATCGTCGTGCTGTCTTCGATCAATGGCCTGATCTCAGTGCCCGGAATGATGCCGTATACGGCATCCAAGCACGCGACCATCGGGATCGCCCAAACTGCCGCCGTCGACAACTTTGAGCATCACATCCGCGTAAACATTGTATGTCCGTCATGGACCGATACTCCCATGATGCAGAAGACAATCAGCAACGTCCCTACCCTGGAGCAGGCCATTGCGAAACTGTGTCCTCTCGTGAGGATCGCCATGCCAGAGGAGGTATCTGATGCGGTCGTGTTTCTCTGTAGCCCCGCCGCTTCCTTTATCAATGGAGAAAGTCTGGTGATTGATGCAGGCTTCACTTTGACGGGGTTCCGGATGGGCCACTAAATGCTGCGATTGCAGTCGAGCGAGGTTTGGTAGATGCTAGGGGCCATAAAAAGGATTGATTCCATCTGTTTCAAAATCTCTTCGATGGAATGCGATCATTGATTCCTGCTGCCTAATACTATGTTTATAGCTTCGCGGGGTTTCCCAGCGCAGGGTTTGACCGTTGCAAAGGGCCACTTCAATCCCTTCCATGCAAGTGAGACGCTTACTGGCACGTTCTATATACGAGTTAGTAGCGGCAAAATGCATTCATACTGTAGGACTGCATTGGCCATGATCCAATGTCTGTATCTGAGTGACCTCGACATAGAGTGTGTACTGGATCAAACCAGGGGTGAGCATCTAGGAGTACAATCAACACATCTAATCGTTGATATCCGTCTACCCCATCGTGATACTGCTTTCCTTCAACACAAAACCCCAAATGGATGTCGGCATACAGAACTGCCCCCTCCATGAGCACAAACTCCCGTGTCTGCTGCTCCCGCGTCGACTCCGTCAACGTAAACCCCTTGAACTGGGACTCCCGAGGGATCGAGGAACATGGTGATACCGCGCGATGAGAGCTCAAAGGTCCGACGACAATGGTCTTGATGGTCGACTCATCGAGGAATCCACTACACATAATACCGAAGCACTTGGCCTCGAAGTAATGGGCAGCGGCGCGCAGGCGGTTAGCCAGGACATTGTTTTACTTCGACCCAGCGGAGGCTGCCCCGACCGACGAATGAGCGGAAGCAGCAGAAGCGTCTCCGGTCCCGCCCGCCGCCTGGGAAGGATCATCCAGCATTCGGGTAGGCCAGATGCATGGCCACGACGAGATATGAATCTGATCCCGCGGCGTCATGAGAGTGAATCGTGAATCATGTCAGCTGGTTCGGATTGTCAATTCTGAGAAGCCCATGCCCATCGCCGGAACACCAGTCGACTTCTCAAAGGAAGTAGGCATCAGCTTGCGGTGGTGAACAGCAATGGAGCCGGTTGTGTCGATGATGAGGTTCGAATTGTACAGACAGAGTATCGCTGGTCGAGCTACGCTCCGAGACGCCGATTGTCACCACGGTGTTAGTCTTACAAGTGCCAGTCCGCAGTGCAGCAACCTCTTCACCATCGAGGGCAATGGAATGCGCCACCAGGCGGGAGAACAGATGGTGGGCACGAAAGGGAGCAACGTAGGGTTCGTGAAGACAACCACGTGGGCGGTATTTCGCGCCGCTTGATGGATGAGGGAAACGGCTTTGCTCGTGTTTTTTGACGCGGACAGAAAGTGAGGCGCGACGTGGCAGGCTGCTACTCGGGTGGTGACCATGATGAACGAGTGTTTATTCTTAGCCCCAAGTTTCAGCACAAAGGTCTTTATATCCAGCAATGATGCGGCGTGATCGAGAAGGATGCACGACGTACACTAGCTATACTTTTTATGTACATTACAGATCGCGGTGGCCAAAAGAACCTGTTTGAAACGACAAAGGTCTTGGAGATGGAGATACACCACTACCCAGAGTCTATCTCTTCAACATGTCCGCCTCAAGAACAACAGTCGGACTCCATTACATGCGCTGGCGCAAACATAGGCATGGCATCTTCCCACAAACTGTTGGACAACGCAGTCTTGTTACTACCATCGGCTTCCATGAGCATGATGATAGCATAGGGCTGCATAGAGTCATCATATAAGGGTGCCTCCTGCTGGAAGCCGAACATAGCAGTACTGTAAAGGATACGGCCGTCTTGGGTCCACACAGCATGGGCGTCACTGGCGATAGATGGGGTGAGCTTGGTAAGTTCACTGCCGTCGGGATTCATAGTGAAAATGTCATAGTTGTCGCCGATATTGTCCAGGTTTGTGCGCCGGGTGAACAGAATCTTCTTGCCATCGGGAGAGAAGGCCGGAAGATTATCCCACTCGGTCGTGAGCTGCGTCACCTGCCGGGAGGGTAGATCAACAATGGCTAATCCGGTCGTACCAACAGTGGTACCGTTGGAGGCAGTGCCAGGCCAGGTTCGGAAAACGACCTGAGTGCCATCATAATTATAGGACGGGAATCCGTAGTTGGTAATGTTGTTGCCCGCGAGAAGCGTCACGCCCGTGCCCTCCGGGGTGACACTGAAAATGAAACCGGGGCTACTTTGACGACCGACAAAGTATGCACCGTAGCCGAACGTGATGTTCGTATCATTGGGCCCCCAGCTGCCCTGGTAGGCACGGGCGTTGAAGCCTTCTGCAATGGATGGATTGATCATGCCCTTTTTGGTCTCGAAGAGAGTGACCTGATCAGTGCCGTTCATTTGGAGGCGCATGAGATTGCTCTCCGCGACACCCTCCATCTGCTGGGACATGGCCATCATAGGGCAGCCTCCACGCTTGGCCATGGGGAAGACATCCGTGAAGCGGTAGTCCCAATCCGGGTCGAAGTTCCACAGGTCGGAGTATTGCTTCTTGGAAGTCGATGTACTACCGCCCGTGGGACCCTGCTTCTCATAGATGACATATTTGCCATCTGGCGACCACGCAGGGGAGCGTAGTGCAGGTGTCATGGTGTTCATGGGAATGGTCTGGTACTGCGTGTAATTTTTGCCCGAGAGAGACGTGTAGTAGATACCGTTGCTGGCTGACTCTTTCATAACATAGCCAATAACCTAGTGAACGCATTCATCGGTAAGTAAAAAACAACAAATCGCCCTATGCTGGCTAGACTTGAGTACTCACATCATCGGTGACAAATGAAGGGCTAATCTTGGTGCCATCTCCAGTGGCATGAACGATACGGTCACCTCCAGTGGCGAAATCGATTGAGACGATGCTGGTGTTAAGATAAGAACCTTCAAGCAGTTCAGGCTGTAGACGACCATTGTACGTGTCCTCGGTCAGCATCTCGTAGAAGACCAGGCGCTTTCCATTCGGCGAGAACCTAGGCGAGCCTTGGGTGTAGTTGCTCCGAGACGACACCAGTCGGAAGTCGGTGCCATTAGGGCGGGCTGCGTAGATGGACAACTCCTGGGTATGCTCCCATCCCGAACCGTCGCTGTGGCCACGCCATGGTGTGTTACGATCGGACGTGAAGACAATCCACTCTCCATCGGGGGACCATGTCGGCTTGAAGTATCCATTGGGTAGTGCGGAGTTGGCAGCTTCGGAGATACCAGGAATGAGCGTCAGGTTCTTGAGAGATCCCGTTTCCAGGACCATCAGCATGATCTGACTGGTCTGATTGTATCTCGAAGTTGCAAACGCCAGCATCTTGCCATCAGGGGAGATTGAAGCAGAGTCGTCGACACCTGGTGACGAGGCGACAGGTTCGACTTCTGCTCCCACCGTGCTCGTGCCATTTATGGCCACGCGGTAAATGTCCGCCTGGCCGTCCCCTCTTCTTTCTGACGTGAAATAAACATGTTTGGCATCAGGAGACCAGCTTGCTCGGAAATCGTACACGCTGTTGGAACCAAGGAGGAGCTTCGCGTTAGAGCCATCTGGTTCGGCAATGTACAGCTCGGAGTAGTTGGGACTGATGCGATTGTGTAGAAAGGTCCCCTTATATGTGTCTGAGGCTGCTCTTCTAGCGGCATGACCCTGGCCTTCATAGTGTGACGCACCAGAGACCAGCGTGGCAGTGGCTAATGCAAGCCAGGCCCATGTCTTCGTAACATGCATGGCGCCTCTCAGTCCCTAGTTACAGGGGCTGCTAAAAATTGGGGTTGTAATGTTGACGAAAATGATATCAAAGTCCAGATACAATGTCTGGCTTCGAAAGAGAGATATGAGACAAGTGTTGGCAATTGACCGGAAGGTAGGGACATTGTTTGTTTTATATGTCAGACTCTGAAGAGCGAGAGGGGTGGGGATGCACCCGCTGACAATTGGAGAGCACCAGAGCCATCTTCGCTTAGATGGAGGGAACCATCTGAGCAACTGGAGCATTACCCTCAGGGCCTAAATTAGTGAATCCTGGTGGGAACCGTAAAGATGCAGGTGCCAGGCTGAGAAAAGTCCGGGGGCTCCACTTGTCGGACCTTGAACCCTGATATGGATACCCGCTGTCGATCCCTTGTTGCAACCTTGTAATGTGTATTTTTCCCTCAAATTCGCCCACCCGAAGCGATCTGCGCCCTCCGATTCAGGTACAAGTGGAGGAAGAATAGGACTTCAGATCACCAGTCTTGCGTAATTCTACTGAATGGTTAATATCGAAGAGATAGTGGAGAAATTACAATATAATACGCCGCTCCTGACAATCTCGGGGCTCGTCCGGGATGTGCTATTCTCCAATGATGCTTATTTGTGAACAATACAGGCCAATCTCCATACTCCAAATGTCCTCCCTGCAGGTGTTGTATGTTAGCCCGAGCACAGTGTTTCAGCCCTTCTGTAATCCCCGAAGGCGGTATCATCGACGAGGTCGGAGCAAGGCGTCTTGTTATTGAAAGTATATGCATTGGTTCTCAACCTCTAAAGTGGACGAGAGCGCGATTCTGTGCCGCCCGCTCCTTCGTAAAGCTAGTAGCATTGCCTCTCAATTGTCCTCGTTCTTCAATCTCACTGGGCAGCTTCAAATGTCCACCCTTTTCCCCGACAACACAACGCCGAGCGAAGAGATGATCTTTCCGAACAGGCAACCATCGTCCTTCTTATTGGATGCTTCATCTTGGAGAAAAAGAGTGTACGCAATATCTCCGACTGGCGTAACGTCTCTACTACCTAGTGGTGTATCCTTTCCTCAATGGCACCGCATGACGACTGCACGACGGTACATAGCCAGGGGCTTCACCTCTTGCTTGCGCATACAGGATTACGAATGCCGAATTGACGATTTGAGCAATTTTTGCTTGGACGGCGCTATGGTCGATTCCACGTAGCGTGTTGGTTATACAAGTTAATGAAATCACAAAATGTATCGCGTTCTCTCTATCTCGCATAGGTTCACCAAATACCTTTGGTGCATTTATCTTCTAATTCTGTATTTGGAAACTCTGGGATTATACAAATGCAACTTGCGACCTCCTCTATTATAGGATCACTTTTCAACTTCCCGATTACTGCAAGGCCCATTTGGAAGGTAAAAGAAAGTACATGGCCTTAGTCACAGTGAAAACAACGATAGACACGCATACAGCTGGCTAAAGCCGCTCTTCGGAGCTGTCCCCATACGCTCCGATTCTAGCTGATGACGGTGATATTGTTCGACAGAGTAGTGCAGTTCATTGGCAGATCAATTGGAGGGGCTGTACCCCCGGAAGAGAAAGCCAAACTGCTGTAGTTGTAGGTCGGGCTCAGCATCATGATTTGACCAACGGTCGTGCCGTACTTGTCGGCAAGATCCTTGTAGACACCCCACTCAAACGAATAAGGCTGGATGATGCATTGGCTCGGTGAGCACTCGGGGACCTTGATAAATTGGCCGACGGGCAACGTTTCATTGGCCGATTGACCGCCGGAGAGTGACTCGGTGGTGATATTCAGACGAAGCGCAATTTTTTCATATGTGTCGCCCTTCACGGTGTAATACAAGCGCGGCCCACCGTAGATGCAAGTTCGGGTACGGCCCACGTCTTTAATCAGGCAGGACTCGTTGTCGGGGGTGCAGGTCTCACCCGGGATGATGAAGACTTCACCGATGTTGGGTGGAATAGTCACATCTGCCATCAAATTGTGGCGGCCAATATCACAGACACCACGATTGGTCTTGCGGGCGACCTCGAAAACCGTAGTCTCTTCCGTGATATCATAGAGATAGCTCGTGGTATTCAGAGCACTCTGATCGCAGGAAGCGGAGACCACAGTAACTGTGCCCATGGAAAGCAGGATAGAGATGGCGGATATAAGGCCCTTCATGATGACGATAGGGAGTGTTCCTTAGGATTTGAAAAACGATGAGATGAAGAATGTCAGGAAATTGAGAATGTGACAGACAAGCAAGGCATATAGCAGGGCTTTAATAGCAAGTATATACCATATCCTTTCAATTATGGCTGTTCCATTTATAAGTGGTTCTGCGAACACTACAAGGAAGTTATTGTCGGTGATCAGCAGCCGCTCATGCCGGAGCTGTCTGGTCAAGGTGCTTTTAGCTTCAAATTGCACCTCCACAGTCTGGGCCCTAGTAAATCATTCCTTCCATATGCCTGGACACGCGTATAATGATGGCTAACTTTTTGGAGCATACATTTAGCCTTGATCGGCATATCCAGGAGTTGCAATGCCTTCGATTCCCTCTAGCCTCGTCAGCTCGGTGTGTGACGCGTTAGCCACATCATGTCTTGCGCTACTTCGGCGTATTGATGGGATCTTCGTAAGATGCTAGAAAGCCAAGTGTGTCTTGTATTTAGCATCAGCGTAAAATAAATCGCCCTCATTGGAGGAAGCAGAATACTCTAACCACGAGCGATGCAAAAAGACACCCCAGTTCGACCCATGTACGGGTGGGTCGGACGGGAAAACTGCCGCGGGGAGGGCCGAGTACGCCGGGATCGAGCACGCTTCGCATACCCAGCAGGTTCTCTAATCAGGATAGAGTTTTCGGGCCAAACGTGGCAAATAAGGTACTTATTCCAGTCTCATTTTAGGCTCTGAGGACCGTTTGTGCCTTGCTCTAGGTCTGGGAACAGGAGGTTGGCCAGCAGCCTTCAATACACATCAGGGATGAAAGAAGATACACGACTGCGTACACACATCGAGCTTATCACAGAGTGGGGATGCGGTATTACACTGTAACTCGGCAGGCTAAATCTTCATCATATCTATATTACTGATCGTTTCTGGGGAGAGACCAGGAACCCTCGAGAGCGGGACAAATGTGCCTCTGTTCAGGGAAAGATCTTCGTGATAGTGGGTCCAGGGCCGCAAGAATGTTATGAAGACTGTTATCTCCGAGGATCTTAAGTACCCCATGCGTCAAGATGCACCGGGAGAACGGCTAGTGTCTGTTAGAAGTGCTTGTCAGGTGTAATGTAGAATAAGTCCAGTATTCGGAAGGTTTTGTAGGTGTCTATGAACTCCAACTATTGCGAAAGGTACCTGGGAATATTGTAGCCTAGGAGCCCGAAGATCCCCTTGTGAAGCTGCACATAGCCGCGATGGCGACGCCAGGAAACCATTTATCTGATGCCGTGGAGTGTTCGCAAAGTGACCCCAGATTGGGTTATAGCGGGTAGAGTCTAGAGTGGGCGGCGTTGGAGTCTCTCTCGTCCGCATCGTCTTATCGGCGGGACCCGGACCCACGCTGCCGATCTTGATTAAAGCAGGGTAAGTATGGCTCAGCGCAGACCACTGAGAGGTCTGACCTGACGCGGTCTCAAAACTGTGGTCACTCCTGCAGCTATCTCTCCATTGCCACCGAAACAGAGAGAAGGATATTACGGATTTCCAATGGCCCGTATCGAATACGGCGGGGGCTGTGTTTCTAACAGAATGGTGGCTCTCCCGTTTGTGGATAAGTCATTCGCATGATGGCTTTAGTCGGTTGTGGACGTGTTATTGGCTCAGAAAGGTCTCATGTTTTTCTGTCTCCCGAAAGTCCGACTTCACGAGTTGAAGACCACATTAGCCGGTTTACTGCGTCTGGCGTTGAGACATTTTTATCAATACCAGACTTGTAATACATCTACCCAGCAACAGCGAGGCTTGGGCAGGGACAATTTTTTTTTCAGGAAGGCGATATCACCCGGAATAAGCCTTTGCTAGTCTCAATCACAGCAGAATGTCCTCTCATGATTTTCACTACGATCAACGCACATGTCTGTCAATCCATGCATACCATTGTCATGGTAGGAAGATTAACGGGTCTAAAGGACTTCGACTGGTCAGCATCCTTCGTTCAAAGCCAAGTTAATGGAACATATCATACCAAAAGACCACATAAACACACCAAAGAAATAAAGTTTGCGAGTCCGACACCTACTTACAAATCCCTTTTGTGACTGAAGGCCTGGCTTGATGCATGTTGTCGCTATTGCACGCTTAGCATTGTCGAATGGGTATTTTCCATCATTTGTCGCTCTACAGATTGTTCGGGGAGGTTACAATCCTTCATCACCTCTCCTCTAATGCAACGTACTCTCACACTATGGTATTCCCGGGGTGACTCATTCTCAACCCCCATTGAGGCCGGTGTCTGGTATTATCCCAAATATTCCAGGGCATAGGGGAACTTCGCGTTGTTTACTTTCTGACTAGGATGACAGGCTGCTAGCAGCCTTGACTATCACTTTGGCATGTTCGAAATGTCTCTCCCGATACTACCAATTTCACACATATAAGTATGTGGGAAAGCACATCTATCAATCGCCAATTTCATTATTCTAGAAAAATCTAATGTAACAGAGATCTAAGTGGTGAGCAAACAACATTTCCTCCTTAACTATTGTGTACGCTTCACAATGGCGGTCAAACAATATATGCAGTCCAATATCAACTCCTCAATAACCACATTTGGATACTAAGCCGACAGCCTCAATCCAGTAACCTCCTCGCAGGCTTGCACCACCTTCTCTTGGAGATCCTCATCTCTTGCAGCCGGAATCGGCTGGCCAATCTTCCTCTTGGGCTCAAAATAAGCTCCAGACAGGTTCTGTTCATCATAATCCCCTTCGGCTAACATGACATACGTTTCGACACCGTCCTCCAGTTTATCTGGAGCACCCTGTCCGCCAAGCTTTGTCGCCACCCACCCGGGGTGCACTGAAGTCACTGAAGTGTTTTTGAACCGCCGAGCGACCGCATTGGCGAGAAGCATGACATGAAGCTTGGAGTCACAATATGCTGGGTAGTCCTGGTACCTGGTCTCCCCGCGCTTGAACCAGAACATGTCATCCATGCTCGCCATGTTTGCCTGCCGGTGCAGGTTTGAGGAGATGAAAATGAGGCGCTTCGGTGGACGCAGCAAGCAAGACATCACATAAGGTGAGATAAGGTTGACAGACACCAAGGCTGGAGCACCAGTATCCGGGGTTTTGCGAAAGCCACCCTGCATGAGTCCAGCGTTGAGGATGACGGCATCAAAATTGCCAATTGCGTTAACATCGTGGCAGAGCTTCTGTGTTTCTGCCACACTGGATAAGTCGGCCGTCAGCACCCCGGCGGCACCTGGACATGCGGATTTCGCGTCCATTGCACGTTGTTGATTGCGTGCATGCAGGTACACAGTGTGGCCTCTGTGGACAAGCTGTCTGGCAGCCTCAAGGCCAAGTCCGTCGACAGAGCCAGTAATGAGAATGCGAGCCATTTTTCTGATTGACGATGATGAATAGACCAATTTCGAGTGATGCACTGTCACGGCAGGGGGTTGACGAACTCTGATGAACACGGCTGCAGGGATAAGGGTGCAGAAGTTAATATATAATCGAACTGGAGAATGAGTCTGTTGTCTGGCTATCCCCGGGGCCGTCGATGCGGCGTTGGATGGTCGTGGGGCAGACACTGCACGGAAGTGAAGTCCGCTAACTCCGGAGCGGTCTCCGAAGCGGTTTCCGAAGGGTTGTTTGAGATATGATGTATTCTACACCGTGGATGTAGCCCGCATCCTGAACCCTGGGTGGAGTCAGAAACTGTCGACATCTTAACCGCTAGACCAAAAGGATATATCGCGTCTATCCGATCAGCCGACGGAATATGGCCCAACAACCGCACAATCATAGGCAACATAGGAAACACTAATACCAACCCTGGCATTGTGCTTCACCTTTAAGACCACCGAACTATAATAGTCGGTGGGAAGGAAAAGAAGGAGAATCAAACTTCTTTTATTTATTGGCTCCATCTCAATGTCAATTAGTTGTACTCTATTCGTCTTATGTTCTCACTTCGTGAACGGACTTTGTTTACTAGCCACAATCATGCCAGCCAACACACACACTACAAGGAAAGCAATATACGTAATTATTATCGCTACTATAGTAAATACAAGTTGAGGTTTTTTTATCAGCAGAGAGTAACAACCCGACGTTTGGATGCATAGCCAGACTATGGATGACTCCACCCCCACGGAAGCTAATGCGCATTGCTGACACCACCAATGAGAAACCGACTGTCAGCACGCAACCAGGGTCTTCCATCCGCTAAATCTGCATGCTGCAGTGTGGTTGTTCCAATGTCACCGATGTTATTGACTATCGAACTGCTTGGAAGTCAATAGCTTAAGCTTCGTCAATCTTAGCAAGTCGAGACGGATTTCTAATCGCATTGGATTTCTAAATGCTGTCACCACAGCCCAGTTCTGACAGGGTCCGTTGCCTCTGGGGCCCTGGTTATATATAGTTGAAATATGACCCCAAACTTGAAGCTGGCATAGAACACCTGCATTGGCACTCAAATCACAACTATCTCCATTTTACTAATATTCGTTTCATTGATAATTGTCTAGTATTATGGCCACCCACCCAGCGATCACTGTACCCGCACTGAAGGGACCTTTGACAATCGAGCATGTCCCAACCCTCAAGGCTGAGCATCACGACGTTCAGGTCCGAGTGGAATGGGCTCCGACTTCCCACCTGGATGTCTACCAAGTCGATGCTGGTGTGATGGTCCAGTTCCCTCAGATCTTGGGGGATAGCGCCGCCGGAACTGTGGTAGCTGTCGGTCCTGATGTCAAGCGTCTCCGGGTTGGCGATCGTGTGTTCGGAATGTTCTTCCATAACAAGACACAGAAAGGCCAGCAGGTATATGTCACGGCACCAGAGACTCTTCTTGGCAAGGTTTGTTTACATTCAATTTCCACTTCCACCTGAGATATATTTTCCGGGTTATCCTAACAGGAGAATTAGGTCCCACAAAACATTCCATTGTCTGCTGCCTCTACCATACCGACGAACTTCTGCACTGCGTTCTTCCCGCTGTTCGAGAAGTTAAAAGTTGAACTACCCTGGCCGCGTCCAGAGAACTTCACTCCATCCGACAAAGACCTACCGATTCTCATTTGGGGTGCTGCCAGTTCTGTAGGGCAGTACGCGGTGCAAATCCTCAAATACTGGGGATACAGCAACGTTATTGCAACAGCTTCCCCGAAGCATCATGAAATGGTCAAGGCTTATGGGGCGGCGCACGTCTTCGACTATCGTGACCCGGATGTTACCGCCTCTATCCTCAATCTCTTGAAAAGCCAAGGGCACCAACAAAGCATTCGGGTCTTTGACTGCATAAATTCGAAATCAGGTTCTTTGATTCCGATCTCCAAGATAGCCACACAGCCAGGCTCAGCTGTTGCTGCTGTTCTTCCGATTGTGATCAGCAGACCATCTGAGAAAGACGGTCTGCAGCTCTCCTTTGATGTCTCTACAGAGGCGCCCTGGGCATCGGGCGTTGAGACTCACCCCATTGTAGTCTACGACTACGAGAAGGTATGTTGTACTTCCATGTTGCGTCGTGACTTTGTGGAAGCGTTCGTTACCCACACCGCAATGGATGCTGGACTGACATAAACCCTTCTCCTAGAATGACTTTTTGCGGGACCATCTCCAGACTGAGATACTGCCCACGCTTGTGGCTCAAGGTGCTATCAAGCCGAATAAGCAGCGGATAGTTGAAGGAGAGACTCTCTTAGACAGGGCTAGTAAAGCTTTAGACATCTTGAGAAGCGGCACTGTTAGTGGTGAACGGTTGGTGTGGCAGGTCTGGACCGAGGAGGAGTTCCCTGAGTTTAAGTGATCTTGCTGCCAGACTCGAGCGGTTTTGGATAGACTACAGTAAGCCTTGATGGTTTGGTCTCCAGAATGATAGTGAAATAGTTCGTTAGTTTGCCTGCGCGTTTTATAGTAAATAGTTTGCTGGGATCGCGCCTTCTTTTCTTGTCCGAACAATAGTAGAAGAGCCATCTGGTGTCACGGAACGACTGAATCAGGGGTCGTTGATCAGGGGGCGTAATACTGTCTCATCAGTGGATTTCAGGGCCTCATGCGTAGGTTTTTCAGACCATTCCAGGGGGCTTACTTTCGAAAGACGCGAGGAAAAAGAAGAATACAAGAATTATTTTAGTGTCATTTTCTGCATATGTAATGGGGGGTAACTATTCGAAATGCCTATCATAATGACCCTGCTTTGGATATAGACTGCTATTACGTTTTACCGACCTTGTTAAACAGGATAAATGAACCATCACCAATCAAAGACAATTCTTCCAACTTCGTCGGCCCAGCATACATTCTCTCATCTGGTGCAGAGTCGGACGTTTGGCTTTCAGATTCCTTGTCTGCGTTATCTTCACAGAGTGTACCTGCGATCTCCTTGGTGTAGCCGTCCGGATCCCAAGCCAATGACCGAGTCTGCATCTCTTCCACCTTTATCGCCACAATTCGTTCGATCTCGGCTCTCTCTGCAGGCTCGAGTATAACCAATCTCTGCTTCCAAACGTCATCGATCGGAGTTGATGTCGGTCCGAAGAGTCGCTGATCAATCTTGTGCCAGTATATCAGGTCAAAGGCAAAGTTGTTCCTCGCTGCATACGCTATCCAGAAATCGCCGCTCTCCCAGCTTTCTTTCATCAGACCCGACAGTCGCTGCGTACTGTCTAGCCACCCCTGCTCAATTGCTCTATCCTCCTGGTCTCTCATTGCTCTTAGAAAGGTTGGAAGGCGTCGTCGATACTCGTTACACCAGTCGTCCAGCCCTTGTGGCCAGTATTCAGGCTTTTCAATTAACAGCCACCATGGTGGTGCGAATGAGAATTCCACTGGGGCGGCATATGTGAATTCCCAGTCAAAAACGCTGACAATCTTAAGCTCTCGGCTCAGGAGAATATTACCTGGGCGCAAATCATCGCACCAAAGCTTGAAGGGGCCTTTATCGAAGGCTGCCAGCGGCTTTGTTAAGCATTGTTCTCTGGCAAGTTTGCGGAAAAGGTATCGAGCAACAAGCTTGCGCCGACAGTCGTCAGCAGAATCGATGGCATCATTGCGCTGGTTGGTCAGGTGTGCAATGTGCAGCTCTGCTAGGGCCTCAAAATATGAAGAGGTACTGTCGAACGTCGTGTTTGGCAGTTTTGATTGGGGTAGCGAGCCCAGCCGAATCAGACTGTTCATGGTCATTGACAGAGGTCTTTGGGTTACTTCCCAGGTGAAATCATCGACTTGATGCAGTGACCCTATCCGGGGTAAATTTGGTTGAGAAAGCTTCAGTAAAATAGTTGCAACCTCTCCATACAGGGCCTCTAGCTTGGCCTCACTGATATGGGGGTCAAGAATACCACGCTGTTCGCCTGGACACCTGGGCACGTTGAGAGCATCATACATGCTCTTTTTGTGTTCAATATAATCCATGATGATGAACGGGCCTAATCCCCGAGGACTCTCCTTCCTCGATCCCCAGTGGTTGACGAAAGGAACGGGAATGGAAGTCTGGTCGTAAATGTATCGCATCGTGGCAACTTCATTGCGGAGTTTCTCCTCAGGGAACATGATCAATCCTGGCTGAACGAAACGTATGACGGTAGCGTCTGATTCTTTGTTAATCATCTGGAAGGTAATGTTATAAGACCCTTTCTTCAGATAACTGAATTCATCAACGTTTCCCGGACCATGGTGTCTTTTCAGGAATTGCGCGACGGATTGGAGGACCCTAGGATTGAAGAACTGTCGAATCCACGCATTGGAGATGGCTTCGCTGTGCTCCCGAGCCACGTCGTCGTAGTGCAGGCGTGGTTTCATGCTTGCTATCAAGCCTCAGGAGGTAAATATCAGCTGAGGAATACAAATAACACCGAGGATTCAGAACGGTACGGCTTCAATCGATTCCTCCTAGCCTACTAGTGTCAGCGATCAGAGACCCAGAGGCTTAGGCATCGAGATATCTATCCACTGCCACGGGGAAGTGTCGATTAAAAGCGGCATTGACCCCGCTAACGCAAGGGGATACACGTCGAGTCGCACAAGTATCGAAGATCAGGTCTAGGCTCTTCTACCCCACCACGGCCACGTCAAGACATATGGGATGACTGCTTAATTTCCTTGAATGTGCTTCAGATAATGAGTAAAGCTGATTCTAAGGTTTTACAATCTGTCCCTTGAATACCTTGTTGATAGCATCAGCATGGATCTCTTCTGTTCATGAAGACACGTGAGAAGGGCATTCTATGGACGTAGGAACAGTGATTTATGTTCTTAATATGCTGCCCGGGTCCGTATGAGCAGAGCAGTCACTTGTGCTTCGCCAAGATGAATTATTACGACAGATCAAATATCGACCCCGCGGGGTACTTTCAACATTGCCAGCCTTGCAGCTTTTCACTGCAGCCTTGCGCAGTAATACCCCGGCCGGATAAGGGTCCCCGAAAGGAGAAAGCCGGCGGTGTCATATCATACGCATATGCCTTACTGCTCTGTATTCTCAAGGGGCACTTTAGTTAATAAAGAAAGTTTCAAGGAAAGACAATATATTCAATTGCTGATCATGCGACTTATATACAAATCTATATGCTATAAGACAGGGTAATTATAGGTCTATGGTCATGATTAGTGGTGATGTTGACATTTGTGCTTGCCAGCACTGCCTTGTACAACCACTTGATGCATTAATGCAAGGAAGAGATCTGCCCACGTTAATATAATGGGATCCGTGATCTGTATTGACCCGGCAGGGCATGATTTAGGGTCGGTTGAGCTGTTCGCGGCGGTAGAAGAGCAGGAAGCCCCAACTGTTCAAACGTTAGATAAAGCTCGCGTGAGAAAAGAAAGTGTGGGAAGGCTTACCTTGCCAGGAGCTGGAAGAAGAGAGCGATCCAGAACCATGCGTTACCGACCTTGTCCACCGACGTGCCCACATCCGGAGAGATATCCCCAGGGCCAATCTTGTTCGGCGCGAAGCCGCGGGCGCAGATGGTGGCGATGGATCCCAGTGCTTGCGCGGCCAACAGGACGAAGCAGACATGCACGCGAGTCATGGTCTGCAGCAGAATCATACCCAATCCGACTTGTTGGATCTCGTCAAGGAGTCCCAGCCAGAGCCACAGGCAGCGGGAAGCGATCGACCCCGACACCAAGCTGCCAGCCCAAGGGAGATAGTAGCCGATGTTGGAGGTTCCCCACCAGGTTTGTGCCCACCGGGGAGCACCCAGACTCAGACCGAAAACTGGCAAGATCCAGCTGTGTTCCTTCGACAGGGCACGGAATATGACAAGAATGACTACCCATAGGACGACGAAGAAGCCGAACACAAGGAGGACAATCTCCCAGGGCTTGGTGTGTTTGGACGACCAGAGGAAGGACCAGTTGCGGCCGAAAGCGGCAGCAAGGAACCAGTTCTGGACGATGACCATGAAGAAGAACCACAGGATGATGCGTCGGCGGAACAGAGACTTGTAGAAGAACAGGATACGGCTGGGAGCTTGACGGTAGTAGTTGGGCAATCCCAGGGCCAGCAGGACTCCGATCACGAAGCACAGGGCAGCAATGGGCATCACCACGGCCGTGAGACGCCAGGAGCTCAAGGCCGCTACAGATACACCTCCCACTTCGGCGGCAGTGACCTTGGAGCTCCAGAACCAGAGCGCGACCGTGTAGATCTGTGAGATACCTTGAATGATACTGGCGCGGAACATCCAGTCCTTGACAGGGACGGCACCCTGGTCTCCAAAGTTCAGAGCGAAGAACAAGGAACCGCTAGACGACGCAATGGCGTAGACGCCAGCCGCAACATTCTGAGCCCAGGCCCGACCGAGAGCCGTGAGACCGAAGGGTGAAACACCGATAACGATGAATGCCATGCAGTAGATGAACCAGGGAAGACTGAGGGAGATGACGGCTGGGAACCGATGATACAGGAACCACCACGCGATGGAGGACAGGCAGTAGATAGCGGCGATGACATAAAGCTTCACAGCGGTCTCTCCGACCTGGCCGACAAGCAGGGTGATTTGTGCGGAGTTGGTGGCGATGATCTGACCCAGACCCAGGAATAGTGAATACACTGGCCAATTGCCCAAGCGGCGTCTCATGAATCGCTGAACTGCGATCGGACGCGTGTAACCCAACCGCATCAGCCAGCGGTCAATCTCATCCTCCCCATTGATTTCAGAATCCTCACTGGAGTACGAGTGACGAACGACTGAGCCACCGGGCCCTTCTTGCACAACACTCTCAGAGCTGGGAACCGCGAGCGAACGGTTCTTAGGCTGCTTCTTAAGCTGGGCGTCGTTGTATGAATTGTAGAACTTGCGCTCACTCTTCATCAGATAGACCTCAATGCAATAGTCCGTGATGGAGTTCTTCTTGTTCAACTTCTCAAGCGACTGCTCGAAGCGCCGGGTGAAGTGGCCCAAGCTGTCCGTGAAAGTCGGGTCCACCTTCTGCAACTCGAAGACGGGCTGGTTCTGCTCCTCGCCGCCGAGACTGCTGAGGCGGTTATGGTCCCCAACAACGGATGGCAACGACAGCATAGAAACGGTCCGGAAGTGAGTCATGGGTGGCGGTGTCGGGCACGCTGGAGTAGAGATCTGTGAGATGGGGTACGGGGATACGGGTCTAGACAAGTAGGAGGCGCGGGGAGTACTGTCTCCAGTGATAGCATGGGGAGTTAGAGTGTTGTTAACGGCCTGCATGGCCTCCTCGGGAGAAATGTAATCCTCCTGCGGCCTGGTGTGGTCGTCGTCAGCGTCGGTATCGTTCTCATCTTCTCCGTGATCAGTGGATGCCTGGCTTGCGGTCGCTTGCCTCTTCGTCAAGCGCTTTCTGCCCTGACCAGGGCCGGACCGGCGACCCAGTGACAGTTTGCGGTTGAGGCTGCTGTCGCGACTGCTTCCCTCGGATGCCTGGATCTCTTGAAGGCGAGCGTGGGCCTGCTGGATCATGGCTTCAGGCGGGGTTTCCGTGCCGTCCGCTCTGGACAGAGCCATATTAGGAAGTGCCACACTGGAATAGCGCGCACTCTGAAGGTTTTGCAGGTCCCATACGCTCTCAGACTCCGGGATCGAACCAGTCACGGTGTCCTTGTTCTTGTCATGATGAATCTTGATCGATGTCCGCTGCAAAGTCTCGAGTTTCTGGATCCACTCGAGAACGGGGAATCGCTGCTTAGCGGAGTTTGCGCGCATCTGGGCTCGAGTTTCAGGAGTCGAATCCAGGGCAGATTTGATCGCAGTCTTCAGCTGGTGTAGAAGATGGCGAGTGGCGTCTGATTCAACGGTGTACCACCAGCCTGGCATCTGACCCAAACCTCCGATGCGAGATCCGATTCCCAGTGCACCCTTCCGACCGAACTCAACGGCAATCAATCCAAATGGCTCATCACGAGACGGGATCAGAGCGAAGTCAGCGCCAGAGAAGACACACGGGGGCAAAGCAGTGAACTCAGGTCGGGAGAAGACCCGGCCAGGGAACATGGCAGCGATCTTCTCCAGCTTAATGGCAGCCAGTCTTCCGTAAAGATCGATGATGGGACCAACACAGATCACCTGCACCTGCGGCCGGTCAGACAGAACGGCGGGGATGACATCCGCAATCAGATCGACACCCTTCTGCTTAGACCAGCGACCGACGAACACCAGGAGGTCGGCGTTGCGATCCTCGGTCAGGCCAGCCCACTTCTGGGCCTCGAGCTTGTCAGTGATCCGTTCCTCATATGACCGAGTCAGAGCTTTCTCGTCAGGAGTATCCTCCAGGGCCGCCGTATCAGTTGGGTCAGGGTTGGGCAGACTACCGATCTTGTCCAAACTCCAGAAAATAGGATACCGAGCCCAGGAACGCTTTCCGTACTTCTTTGACACACCGACCGCGCCAAACCCGCGCTGATGGAACCGAAGGTAACTCGCTCCTGTGTGAAGCAAGTTGAACACATTACCGAATTGACAATATTTGGTAGCCGTCTCGACGGGGAGGTTGAAGACCGAACAGACTTCCTTCTTTTCTTGCTGGGTCCGGAGGGGCCAGAGACCCTGGAACTCGGCGTTGTGGAGAGACAAACACACGGGGATCGTGCGTGTGGGCAGGAGGTACAACGGTGCCAGGCATCCGTGGAAATCGTTGATGTGATACAGATCGATGGACGGGAAGCGCTTGATGGTCTCTGCGATACATTGGTTCCAGGCGGAGTAGTAAATGGCGCTATCCAGGTCATCCATGCGGGGAGGATACGGCTCGGCTTTTGTCTGCTGGCGGAACACAGGAGCGTCAAGAAGGACGTAGGTGATATTGTTGAGAACGTGATACTGCACATTGACGAGATAGGGGTTGTCGAGGATCTTCACGATGTATGGCTCTGTCGGGGTATCCTCGGGATATTCGATGTCTCCCACGCAGGGAACCACCCAGATAAGATTCTGATATCCCAGGTTTTGGGACATGAGCTGGGCCATGACTCCCAGACCACCAATCTTGACCTTGGCCTGCCAATCCGCAATATCGTACTCCATGGTGGCGATCAAGACCGTGCGGCGTTTCTCGGGGGCTCCTGCAATGGCCATTTCGCCTGCCACGGCGGCGACATCTGATTCTTCCCGGTCCATCTGGCCATCACCTCCAGATTGGCCCTTCATCCTGCGCCAGAACAACAGCGGCAGCTTGTCCTCCTTAACAACATTGCCATCGGTATTCAGCTCAACACGGTAGAAGGTGCGGATGAAGATGAAAACTCCCGCCAGCCCCATCAAGATAGGGACGACCCAGAGAAGGATGTAAAGTACCAGCTGGGCCCATCCAGATCCGACCGGAAGCAATTCATAGCGGAGGTTGGCATCATTGAGAGAGATGGTCCAGCCAAGGTGCGGGAAGGGGGGCAGCTCGGTGATATTAATCACGTTCGACGACAAGTAGGAGGGAGGCAAGACCTGTACAACCGATGAGTTGTCAACATCGCCATAAACATTCGTTGTCTCCGGAACACCGTCCTTGCCAGTGCCCCAGACACTGATCTGTCCGACGGACGGCCATTCATAAACGAAATCATATTTCCAGCGGCGATCCTTAGTATCAAACCGCATCTTGCTGTCCAGACCGGCATCATAACCGTATTGGTTGTACGGGCCATTCCACCACAGATGGGGAAATCTGCGAGGGACACCGGATTCCCAGTCATAATCACCCTCCTGGATGTAATCACTGCTGCCGGTAAGGCGGGAGAAATACTGGACGCGAATGTGAGTGCCCTCCCACTTTTGAGCATCTGTGCCGGTCCAAGTCGGAAATTCAATCGTCGTGTTACCACCAGTGTAGTCTGTCCAGTTGGACCAGTTCAGGCCAAAGTCGGTCGTGTAGCGGAACTGGTCAGCGCCGGCCGCATCATGCTGAACATAGTAGCTGCCGTTATCCGACTGATGGACGAGGCTGGTAGAGTAGTTGGCCAGTGGCGATATTAACGGGTTGGTGTGGGTTCCGACTCGGAATAAAAAGCGGTCGATGGCATCTACGCGCGTTCCAGACGTCGTGGAGGCATTCTTGACGGTGAGCTGGTGGATTCCGTGATAGACGTTTGTCAGGTTCGCGGACCAGGTCCAAACAGTGGGAACCTCGCCGATGTAGTTATTACTGCTCGTCCTGGCGGTGACGTTGGTGCAGCTCACGCTAGAGGTGTCAAGGGTGGCATTGACGCCCTTGACGGTGGTCGAATTCAGGGAGACTGCTTTCGTGATGGCACTGCAGTCCATGGCCTTGGAGTAGCCCAGCTGGATCTTCAGTGTTTCCCCAGTATCCTCGGAAGACAGCAGGCGAGCATCGTGGCCGGGGACAAACTCGGTGACGGTAGGGCCAGGTTCAACGAAGTCGCTCGCCTTGACGTAAGCCCGGAATTCCCATGGCAGCAATTTCATGTTGGTCGTGCACCCGTAGGACTCGGTGCCGTTGCTAGCGTCACTTGGTCCATCCTGCAGCGTGAGTTCATCGTAGGGATAGAAGAGGTTTTTCAACTTCGTGCCCGACTCGTAAGGGGACAGAAGAGCGGAGTCCTTGCTAGTACAGTTCTTGCCATAGGTTTCCGTTTTATTGGCATTATGATATACAAGCCAAAGAGTATCGTTGCTACTCGAGGCCTCTTTCTGAACCCCGGGGTAGTAGCTGCGCAGCACTGACCAGAGACCAGTCACCGTCGGGGTAGTCGATGAACCCGGAAGATAGATATCCTGGGTAAGCTGGGAAATGGTCTCAAGGTTGAAGCCATCATTGGCCACTGGGTACTGCTCCCGAATCTCAAACATGCGCTTCATGATGTTGCGAAGGGGGTGCGCCGGATTCCGTTGGTCGTAAGTCACTGTGATATCGTTGCAACCATTCAATCCCTTGTCGTTGGGGAAATCGTAGAATTTCGAGGTGTTTAGCGAGAAGCAGCCATGCGTCCACCACGCCGTCTGGTAAGTCATGGGTTGCCGACCGAACAGATAGTTGGACGCAGTCGCATCGAACACGTACATCTCCTGCTCCTCGCCCCAGAGAACCAAAGGGATTCCCGGCAGCTCCAGCGTAACAATGTATAGACCCAGCAGGTATTTCTCCGTACCATTCTTGATGGCGGGCCAGCGAAAGTTATCCTGGTTCGACACTCCATACATATGTCTGGGATCCAACTCGCCCGTGAAGGCATTGATGAAGTCGTTAGTGACGAGCATGCCATTCCAGGCTTCGATGAAATCAGTGGGCAGGTCAAAGCCGGCCACCAGGTTCCCGTCCATTCCCAGGAAACGGGTCATCGAACGATAGATGGTGTAGTGAAAGGCTGCAGCGTCCAACGCCTGCAGGCCATCATCGCGGAGGAAGTAGGAATCCGACGAAGCATTCGTCAACTTCGCGCCAGCGTCTGCCGAATCGGGCGTCTGGTTTGGCTGACGACCCCGGCCAAGATAGAGACTACCAAAGGTGTTTCCCGAAGTGATCTCTCCCGGCAGGAAGAAGTTCTTCTTGCCATATTGCTTGGCACATTCACGGTAGACCGCTAGCATGTCACCCAGCGGATCCAGAGTGGCCTGGACGGCCTTATCAAACCGGAAGCCATCAATGTCCAAACTGGCGATCACAATGCAGGAATGCCGGGTGATGACATCGCGAACCGGCTTGTGCCATTCTCGCAGACGATCTTGCACCGAAGCGAATTTCGTGAGCTGTCGCTTCCAGTCGGGGAAATTACCAAACGCCTCGAGTTCGCCATACTGATCGAAATCACTGTTGTAGCAACCCTTCAGGTCTTGCACGCCACCGGACGTCAACGGGTATCCCGTCTCGTTCCAGAATTTCGGGTAGTTGCAGGTGTCATTGTAGTCATTGCTGAACTGGAAATCGGCGTACGTTCTCTCGGTGACGTACTCCACCTCGTACTCTTTCGCATTGAAATCAGCCGAATCGTTCAAGTGGCCCTTGAAACCGATCAGGTTACTCAAACTGCACGGGGAGATTGTTAGTGGCATGGTCGTCTAGAATACTCGGTGCATACTCACGTTGCTAATGTATTATCCATGATCACATACATATCCCGGTCGTGGATCTCCTTGATGGTCCGCCTCCAGTCGGACAGGGTGCCATGGTGCTTGTCGAGGAGGGTGGTATCCACCGGGGAGTAACCATCGTAGCCCCAGGGAAGATTCATCAAGCCCGTACCAGCGAAGTAGATTCCCTAGAATGATCAGTCAGTCAGTCAAGGATGGACCGGGAACTGATATCAATGGAATAGACTCACCTTGAAGCCCATGCCTCTGATGTAATCGAGCGTGTCAATCAAGCCGACTAGGTCACCGCCATGGCGCATCTGATTCGAATCGAGTACATGCTCGTAGGTGGTGCCGTTAATATCGTCATTAGCGGGATCTCCGTTGGCGATGCGATCCAGGAAGATGGTATAGATGGGGAAGCGCCAGTTGTCTGGTGACGGATGATAGGTGTGATCTGGCCATTCTCCCCAATAGTTTATCGGTCCCTCTGCGGTCTTGTTCTCGTTCAGGTTGTAATCAACGAGCGACTCATCGTAGGGCCAGCCCACGGTCGTGACGCTGAGTATCCCCAGAATGAGCACCACGCAGCGCTGAACCGTCGTGCCGAACATGATGGCAAGCGGCGTGTGGTACCAGGAATTCTGTGCCAGCCAAGGTCCAAAGGATTATTATGCAGGAACCCAATGCCACATGCCCGAAACCCTCGTACCGAACACAGCGAAGATAAGCAGCACAAAAAACGAATGACTTTGGGGTATGAAACGAGAGAAACGTGGGAGGAAAGCGTTCCCAGGGGATGGTTGAAACGAGAGAAAAGAAGACAGCAAATTGCTGCTGGGAGTTACTGCTGCGAATGCTACGAAAGACAAGAGACTACTCGATGACGAGAGAGAGACAAGCGCGGTGCTTAAGCCGTCGTGAGACCATTATCTAAAACCTTTCGCCCGCGGTGGGGTCGCTAGGCCCTGCGATCCAAGACACCTGTTCGGTCATTCTCTACTCTCGGTGGCTATTATTAGGAAACGTCATATCAGGATAGCATGATTGGGTGAGGTGGAGGCGGGCCTCGTCAGTACACCCTCTGTCATTCGATAATGGGCAACCGCGCTGGATGTGGAGGGTATAATAGCTGTGTATGCTGATGGTGGTGATCCCTGGCGGACTTTACCGCTGAAGCAGCCGCCACTACTGCAGTCACTGAGAGATGATCACTGTGACCGACACTCAGAGCGCTAATCTGATCATCCTAGGATGGATTTCTAAGCTCAATGAGAATGAGAGAGTTTCTGTTCCTGTGTGCCTGTGCCTGTCTGACCTATAACGGTACATCCGTGGGTTCCCATCAACTACTGCCAAGGTACCAAAAAAGTCTGATGTCGGGCCAGCAAATGGGGCGAACATTGGTCCTTGTGTTTCGGCACGACCAGGGATTTCTTTCTTTTCTTTTCTTTTTTTCCTTTTTTTGCCTTCGCGCAGATTCTATGGTTGGAACCAGGCGCGGCTCGGTGGAGATCCGAAACCATCGGGGACTTTGCTTTGAATCACTGTGAGTGGGCATGTCCCGGATCCCCTCCCCACTCCAGGTGGCCCACGTACCCTTCAGCGAGTCGCCAGATCCTGTTATTCTGTTATCTCAGCGGATAATTCACAGTGAGAGGCCAGAGACCCTGCCCCATGCCTCACACCTGGCCAATAGGCATATCACGGCGTCATGCCTTGTCCTGCCGACCCCGGTTCGGCTGCATTGCCACTGGCCCCGTCGGGATGTCGGACTACACTGTGTCGAGGGTTTCTAACTGGGCGGCCAGTCTGGCCGTTATCAGCCCAAGAAACGCCTCATAAATCGCATACAGCGTAAGACGTCATGGAACCTATCAGAGTCTTTCGGTCTGCTTCGGGATGTCCCCGTCGTTGAAGGAGGGGCAACAACCAGGCACATAATCCACCAGACACTGACACAATCCGGGTCACAGAATGAGTGCCAGACCATCCTTCTGCCCTTGGCCCCTACCAGACAATATTCCGATTGAGTTTTTGTGGTTCCAGGTCCAGGCTCCAGCCCGGCCTCAGAAATGCTTCGCGATTCTTCGATTCTTTCACACAGAAAGCTTGTTGCAAAACTGTCTAGGCCACCATCCCACCTATGAGCCACGGTCGCATCTGGATCCCTCAACGTGTGCATCGTGCTGACATGCCGCACATTGCCAGGCAAACCTCAGCCAGAGCGTCAGTCAGTCTTGTTAGCGATTTGGACGCGTACGTGACGGGGTGGCCTTCCTGAAGATCAGCGATCTCGCGGTGATGTCGTTGGTCGAAGAGAAATGCTAGATCTCAGTGCGGGACGGGCAGTGTGACCCGATCAAAGCCCACCAGGATCATCACAACCCTTACTACGATGGGAGAGGTTCTTCCAAATTTCACCACAATCCTTAATAATATTGCCGCCGAAGCGAAGTTGAATGACTCTGTAGTTCATGCGAGTTAATTCCGGCAACGCTGGTAGCTATTCACAGCCTGAGATCACCAAACACCGTTAGTTGTTTGTCTCACCGGGCGAAAGTGAGCACAAGCAATATGTCCTCCCGCGGCAGAGCGCTATATATAGAACACTAACCGCCGCCATTACGTAGGCAGAAGCAGTCGACTGCTTCACTTGGTCGCAGACATGAATCAGACGCTAACATTCACCGCTGCCGTTCAGACATAGAATGTCTGCCATAGATCAACTTGTTGGTTTCCACACGTCTTCCATCCCGCCATGGCGCGTTGGCCCCAAAAAAAACCAAGACATTGCAGCAGACTATCTACCACCCTAAGGAACTTCTGCGGTCAACGACTGCTGTGTTGTACTGCATATGCAGCAGGTACATTGGTGTTGGGGGACAAAAACAAAGCAACTGGAAGGGGGAAATAACAGGAGAAAATAAGCAGGCAATCCTATACGTAAGTACGTGGTACGTCGTACCTGCAGGCTGAAAAAACCCAATGCCACATGTGCACTGCGGAAGAAAAAATTCAGTTCCTGGCTGCTGCTTGCATGCGCAGATTTTTTCATCCAGTCGCCTAAACTGACAACATCGCTGGGACATCTTATCGGCTTCGGATTTCTCCGTGAGTGTACGGTCGGATTATACGCAGCTGGGGGCTTGGATATTCCATTAATCGGGGACAGAAAGAGTTGGAAGTCCCTGGAGGAATAGGGACATCTAATCTCGGCAGGGTTCGAAACCAATGCCAGAAACCTGATATTCATCGGGGCCAGACCGGGTTCCCGGCTAGTGTCATTTTGATGTTGGAAGAACCATCTCATCATGGTCCTAGAGTCAGTCTTGGCAATATGCTCACTCATCCGCACAGCCCCGAATCCTGCTGGGAAGGATGATGCCCAGAGGCCGATCCTCTGAGTCTGCTCGGACTACCAGTGTAGGGATGATTCTAGGCTCTACGGGAAAATGAACTTTGACAGCGAAATGACGACCGGGGCCTATTTGTTGATGTCAGTCCAGTGACTGTTGGTATAGAAAGCATGCGGTGTGATTGATAAAGTGGCGAGACGTGATTGATCATTCATTACGCCAAATGCTCACCTCCATCTCCAGACCTCAGCACTGGTGATTCGATTGATCTAACTATCCAGGGTTCTGCTGAGTCCTTCGCACTAGGTGCTAAGCCAGCCCGCTTCCGAAGGCGACGAGCACCACAATGCTGTCGATCGCATTTGCTCCGGAATGCTCACATTAGAATTTCCAACATGTGCCTTTGCGTTGATCAGTATATACAGTGCAAGGTTGCCTGCTATACTGTGAAATGCTCAGTGGTCAGTTTGTTAAGTTGCCTACGTCAACAAGAGAGAAGGCGTCCAGAGTGAGTGCTCTACCTACGCGCCAAAAGCAAGACTGGTTTTCGGGTTTCCTTATGGTAAAAGGCTTCAATGGTTTGCATTGATCGACCGACTGGGCTGTAGCTACGATGATAGAGTTAGAACGTCCATACGAACTCTATGAGCATGGAAAGGAGAGGACCGCACTGAAAATGCGGGAAATCACCAGTCTAGCGATCGAGCATAGGGTGGTGAATGTGACCTCCCACTCATTACTGGGTGAGTTAAATTCCGACAGACATCGGTCTCGATACTTATGGTATCCTATCGACATCTAGTCGTCTTTTAGGAAAGCAGAAGCCGGGAGCCAACGTATGCGACCGGTCCAACTTTTGGATTCCACCTAAACCGGGAATTAGTACATCCAAGATGAATGAGCCTCTCAAGCAACTTCTTGCAAGAAATTTATTCTTTTGACATATATCCAGGCATTTCTCTACAATTTGAGCACTAGTTTACACTACTGTCGAAAGTGTCAGAAATTATTATTATGTGTAGTGCAATGAGACAAACAATCGCTGCCAGGAGAACTGAATTTAACACCGACGTTTTCATTGCACTGGATTTATTGAGTCATGCACCAGGAAACATATTCGAACACTGAGGATGATGTTATCTATTGATCTTGGAAATGCCTTTCTAAGTACTCGTATTGGGCGCTTCTCGGAATGGCCATGGATCATACTTAATTCCTAGTGTAGCAAGTAAGATATATATTTCTTTCTACATACTACATCCACGGAGTACTAGTGATCGGCACTTCAATGTACTACGCAGGACATCCAGGGTCAATATGCTCTCACATGCACCTATATACATTCTACCGCTTTTCATGACATTGGGCAATTCTATTATTCTCCGCCAGTCGATGTGTGTCCAGCTCAGAGATCGCATCGACCAGAGGCTCTGGTGAGACCCACACGATATGATATTCTTGGCGGTGCGTTGAGCCTCAGGCCACAATTTGCATAATATTGCACAACATTTCGTGTATGTACATAGTCGTCCGAAAGTATCATACACTCCTTCTAAGTGTCATGCAGTTACCGACTCACAATAGTTTAGAAACACTTCGATAAACTATATTCCCTGTGTAACCCTTTTCATGCACGCTGTCCAGCGACTGTTGGTAACGTAGATAGTGTCCCTACTCGTTATTCTTCTCGACTACAGCTGCAAGAGAGGTAGAAGTACAGCCTGAGGAATGACCCCAACTGGAATGAGATAGCTCACCAGCTAGTATCAAAGCCAGATCTATAATTTATCATGTTGATGTGCTCTTGGTTGCTGGAAAGTCGGAAACTTGAATAAAAATCCGGTCCCTCCCCACCCTTGCGAAGCTTAGGATAGCCGAAGCAGCCAACCGGCGTGGAGATGTTACTAGTAGGAATGGCGGTCGCGTGATTTTGGGGCTGAGGTTGACTCCATAAACTCTCCTTCTTCCCCGCGAAAACAACCCCTTCTTCCACCTTCTCCTCCAGGACTTAATTCTATCTCTCTGGATTGGCGTCTCTCCCCGCCCCCCTTTCCAGTCATGCTGGATTTTTACTCCCGGCTCGCGGTGCTCGGCCTCCTGGCCGTGTTCGGGTACGCCTTTACCCGTCGCGAGAAACCCGACCCGCGCGAACCACCACTGGTGCGCAGCAGTATTCCCGTAGTCGGCCATCTGCTGGGTTTCTTGTGGTATGGCTTATCATACTTTACCATGATGACGTGAGTGTTGGAGTCTCCCCGGACCATCTCGGCCATTGCTAGCTAGACCCACGAAGCTTTCTAATGCGCCTGTAGCGAGAAACATGCCTATCCGATCTTCTGCCTGAATATGGTCTACACCAAGAGCTACCTGGTCACCTCGCCGAGCATTCTGCAGTCCATCCAACGGAACAAAAAGTCCCTGAGCTTTGACCCGTTCCTCAGCATGGCGGCCGAGCGCATGGTCGGCATTCGGGGACCGACGCTCGAACTGATGCGCGAAAAGCAATCGGGCGGCCAGGGATTGAAGCAGGCCGTGATCCATGCCATGCAACCCACCCTGATCGGCGCGTCCCTGGATCGCATGAACGAGCGTATGGCGCGTCTGCTGCGACCCCTGGTGGATGATCTGGCCAGCACCTCCACGGTTGACCTCTACGGCTGGTGTCGCCATGCCATCACGGTCGCCAGTACGAATGCCTCGTATGGACCATTGAACCCCTACCAGGATGCAAAGATCGAAGAGTCCTTCTGGTGAGTGACTAGAACATCTACGCGAAGTTACGCGGAACTATGGGACTGAGTCTATAGGTCCTTTGAGTCGCATCTCAGCCCGTTAATGGCGAACTTCCTCCCCTGGCTGACTGCGCGCACCGCGTGGCGAGGTCGTGAGGCGGTTGTGGCTGGGTTGGTGCGGTACTACGAGCAAGGGGGCCACGAGGACGGATCGGAGATGACCCAGGTGCGATGGAAGACGATGAGAGAGGCCGGGGTGGCCACCGAGGAGATTGCGCGGGAGGAGGTGGGTATGGGCATCGGGCTGCTCTCTAACACGGTTCCCGCCGCCTTCTGGGTGCTGTATGAGCTGTACTCCCGGCCCGATCTGCTGGAGGAAATCCGCGAGGAGATCCGCAGGAATGCGCTCCGCGTGGACGCGGACCAGCGGCACATCATCGATATCTCGGCCATACGCGACAACTGCCCGCTCGTGGTCTCGAGCTTCCAGGAGATCCTGCGCGTGCAGTCTGCATCCGCCCCGACGCGATTTGTCATGGAAGACGTGATGCTGGCGGATCAATATTTCCTCAAGGCCGGCAGCATGATCAACATGCCGGCCGCGACGTTGGGGCGGATGCCCGAGGCATGGGGAGAGACGGCGCGGGAGTTCGATGCGCGGCGGTACATGCGGTCGGATGAAAAGAATCCGCGGCGCACGGGAGGCTTCATGACATTTGGCGTGTCCCCCGTCATCTGTCCCGGGCGACACTTTGCCAGCTCGGAGATTCTCGGATTAGCCGCTCTGTTGGTGCTCCGATATGATATAGCGCCGGTGGATGGGCAGTGGCGCACGCCGCGGTTGAACTCGATGGCGGTCGCGTCGAATATGCGACCGCTCAAGGATGAGTTCCCCGTGACGGTGCGTCCGCGCAGCGAATACGCGGGAGTGCAATGGGACTGTACGGTACAACCCGGCAGTGGAGTGTTTAATTTGATGGTGGGATAGGCGTAGCATGTATTATATAGAATGGAAGAGTGGGTGGTGCAACGTGAATAGTTCCTATAAAGGTCTGTCAGGGACCACGTGGCTGACCAGTGCCATCGGGCCCATGGCTTGTCTCCATGAGAAAAAAACACTTCTGGTCGCTGCAGTCCAAAGTGAAAGGGAGTTGACTGTGCACGTGGCCTGTATCCCCGAGTCATGGCCCCGAATGGTGGGCATCGACCCATTTCAATGACTCTGATCGGATGAGTTCGTTCCAAAGATTCGTGGCTACTACGTGAGCCACCTTTGGCATCAAGACGAAGCATCATCGAATTTGGATCAAACCACACGAAGCAAATAGCACAATGAAGCAGATTCTGCGCCGGGTGCTGCAGGATGCGCCAGAAAGAGCGGCACGTGGGCCCAAGCGCCGTGCTGATTAGAAGCCCCCATCCAGCCCACGTGCCTGGCAGACTGGCAGTGGTTGTCCAAACCCCTGATCCTTTGACAAAGAGATTCAGTACGATCTCAACCAACAAAATAAACGTGTTGTACACCCACCACCCTGCTGTAAGGCCTAGCATGGGGCATAAGGAGGGGATGGCAAGGTTGCAGAGTCGAGGTTGATTGAAGTTACAGCATCCCCAACTGTCTGCACCGCGGCCGCTTATCGCGAATCAGCAGCGATGGCTCTATCGCGCCACCACCACCTGCACCATCGAATGAGCGTGCGGCCAGGAGGCAGATTGGCTCGGTCCTCTGCACGCGCCCGATTGCCCTGCAATATGAGTCTTCCTCCGAACTGCGTATATTCCTCCATTCGGGTCCCCCCCTTACTGGGGGCGCCAACAGGCGACACCCAGTGAGCCCTGCACGTGGAGCGACAGTGTCAGTCGGGCTGGATCCATGGTTGCCCCCACTTCAAGCAGAGAAGCAGAGAAGCTTGGTACCTACACGGGAGTAGGAAATCGGTCTATCTACTACGAGTTAGTAAGTAGACAAAAGTGGCTCGGAGAGACCGAATCAAAGGTTCCTATCGTGGCCTGTCGGTGGATCTCCTATCTATCCATTCCTCTCTGCTTACTTCGTAGTCAATACTAGTATCCTCCTGGTTGACGCTACCGGAGATAGCAACAGAAATTGTCTGTCAAAGTGCCCATCATGAGCCAGTGAGATGCTTGGACCTGGCCCATTCCCTCGTGCTCACGCTGTACTACCTCGAATTTGACACCATCCTCTCCTATCCCCACCACTGAGATCCCCGTTGCAGTTCACTTTCTGGCTTCAGCCCCGTTCATGGCTGGTTGATGGGGCAATTCCTTCGGACAAGCTTTGCCGGACGCTGCAGGTCACCGACTTTATAAAACCTCTCCCCCACCCACCAGTCGAGCGTCTTCCTGCTGCTGATTGTCGCCGCTGTTGGTAGGGTATCCCGTGGTCTCGTGCCCCCGGCTGGCTAACGTTGCCCCTCCTGCTGCTTCCCCCTTGCTTTCTCTCTTATTTTTTTACTCACTCCTGAACTTGTCCAAGTTAGTTATAACTGTCAGTTTCAGAGATTGCAATCTAATTCTACACAATGATGGATCGCGGTGATGAGAAGACCAAGGAGCTGGTGGTCTCGCCGCACGGTGACCCTCACATCGATGAGGATCCCTTGGCCGACACAGAGAAATCCTTCTGGGAGCGCAGTTGGCCTACCTTTGCCTGCGGTGCTGGTTTGTGGTCGGATGGATACTTGCAATATGTCAGTGATCTCTTCTCTCTTATTACGTCCAGTGTGAGGTTCAATCGCACTGACATAGGCCCCGGCTGTTAGGTCATCGGTACCGTCAACACCATGCTCGATCAAATTTATCCCAAGATCTACGCTGGCTCCACCTACAGTCAGAATGTTTCGTCCATCGCTTTCGCCGGCACCGTCGTTGGCATGCTCTTCTTTGGCTACCTCTCCGACCACTGGTCTCGATCCAACACCCTGATGGTCTCCACCGTCATCCTATTCGTGTTCGGTGCCCTCTGTGCCGGTGCCTACGGCCACAATGGCAGCCTTCCCGGCATGTTCACGGCCCTGACGGTCTATCGCTTCTTCTTGGGTCTGGGTGTCGGAGGTGAATACCCTGCTGGGTCCGTCGCCGCCGCTGAGAGCAGTGGAGAACTGGCCGAGGGCACCCGGCACCGCTGGTTCATTCTCTTCACCAACTTCCAACTCGATCTGGCATCTGTTGCGTCGTCACTTGTGCCCATGATTGTTGTGCTCGCTACCGGAGAGAACCATCTTCGTGCTGCCTGGCGTATCTGCTTAGGTCTCGGTGTCATCCCTCCGCTCAGTCTAATCTACCTGCGGATGAAGCTGAAGGAACCCGCCGAGTACACGCGCGAGAAGATGAACAAGTTTCCCGTCTGGCTAATTGTCAAGTATGTTCGCTGTCCCCTCTATGCGTTGAGAACAATTCTAACGTCACTGTCAACAGATTTTATTGGAAGCGTTGGGTAAGCCCATGAGAGAACTTAGGGTGAACTCCACAACGAAATTAACTAACTCGCCCAGTGCGTCGTCGCCTTGATCTGGTTCATCTACGACTTCTCCACCTACTCCTTCAGCATCTACTCGTCCGCCTGGCTGGCTGATATCATCGGCGATAATGCGCCCATGTGGCAGACGCTCGGCTGGAACACCCTAATCAACGTCTTCTACTTGCCCGGCTCCGCTCTGGGCGCATTTCTCAGTGATTGGTACGGTCCGCGCTACACACTGGCATTCGGAGTGTTCGTCCAGGGAGCCATCGGTCTGATCATGACCGGATGCTATCCTTACCTGGATACTCCCCACTACGTGGCTGCTTTTGTTGTGGTCTACGGGTAAGTTTATCCCCAATTTCCATTTATCTACCCCGCGCTGACCACTCCGACGACAGCATCTTCCTCGCCATGGGCGAAGTCGGCCCCGGCGACAACATCGGTCTTTGTGCAGCCAAGACCTGCGCGACGCCCATTCGCGGCCAGTACTACGGCACCGCAGCGGCCATGGGCAAAGTGGGCGCTTTCGTCGGCACCTACGTGTTCCCGATTATTGTCAAGAATGCTCCGAACAAGGTCCGCCAGGGCCAGGATCCGTTCTACGTGTCCAGTGCTCTGTGTATCTTTAGTGCTTTTCTGGCATTTTTCTGTCTACCTCATATTGGCCAGGTAAGTGTTGACATTAATTTGATCTAATTTACTGGTATGTGACAGTGACTAACTGACAGTAGGATACTATCACGCATGAGGATGCTCGCTTCCGCGCTTATCTCGAGTCCCATGGATATGACACCTCTAGCATGGGCACAACGGGCGGCCAGAGGCAGACGACGCAGTGAAAGTTTAAGTATGCATTTGATTGACGAGTTGAACGAGCTATGTCACTATGTATCCTATCCTAATTCTGATTCGACTAAAAAGTGTATTCTTTGATCATGAGCATACAAGTTACGGTACATAATTCTAATGAGTTTCTTACGGGGTTAGAAACTAAAGCAAAATTTGCAACGCAGTCTTTATTTTATCGCAATAAGTACCCAATCATCCATCTGTCACCTTTTCGCTACATAACCAGTATCTAAATAATACCGATATCTGTAGCAAACCAGTCGGACAGAGATAGCATACTACTACTCAGTGCCATGTCGCGTGAGGCAAGTCACCAGAACCGGTAAATCGCATTATTGTTATCACCATCCCCCCACTCAAAAGTCTAAACCATTATCTCTGCGTCAAATAGATAACCCTAGATAACAATTTTTCCGTTCCCGAGTGACCCTGTTTGTCTGCAGCGCAGGATTCCACGCTAAAGATCCTGCAGGAAGATTAGTAGATATCTAGACTCTGCCGGACTCACGTGCCACCACCGGACTTTCCGTTGGATTCTCCGGTCACCCCGGGAGCTGGAGGAGACGAGGGAGAGAGAAAGTCTTCAACATCGTCGCGTCGTTCCATTAACACTAAGGTATAATGTATGCTACGACGGACTGTACGTGATACCTCACCGTATTAGTCTCTTAGTTGGTCTGTCATTTCTAGTTGGTGGATTCGGAAGATAAGCTCAATCCACATGTGGGACTCCGTTCTGTTATGATACGAAGTGAGACTAGAAAGGGTGATTGAGTGAGTAGAAAGCAGTCTGATTTTTTAGTTCCCCGGGTCGATGAAGCGCATCTTCAGTGGTTATTTTCATGGATTGCCAATGGGGCATGTATTATCAGAGATAAGACAACAACAAACCAAGCTACATACCATTATCTACTCCTGGTTCTTAGCAGAATATAGTGACGGAGCAAGGTATAGTTATACATGGTGGTGGCTGAGTAAGTAAAGCACTACTGACTAGATAGTTAACAGTACTCATATCTACTAAGTAAGTATTCAGTAAAAGCTGCCATTCTTGCCAACATTCTGGCAACTAATTCAGACGTAGCTGATTCATCCACTCGTGGAAGGAAAGGCCAGTTCGTCTATGGTGAAAGACAGCCAGATTGTGCTCGTGTCTGGCCCAAGTGAACGACCTATCTACGATTCCCAGTGGGTTCTTCTTGAACATTACCTTCCGTAATACAAAGAATTGCAGGTTAAGCTCATCGCGGATGAACTCCAAAAGACGCCACCAATGGTGCTTGGTCTGCTCCTCCATGTCTTGGGGGAGAGGATCGGACGGATCATCAGGCTCAGCCAGGCTGATCGCTCTCACAGTTAGGATCTGCAAAGTGGGTGACACTGCACGAAGGAATTGTTCTAGAGTGTCCATCGGAAGTTCTATTAGCCGCAGGCGCACAGTTTGCAGGCGCTGAAACGGTATCCCTTGAAAAAGCTCACGAACACGGAAAGGTTCCCGGTAGATTGACGAAGTGTAGGGCCCGATTTGGTAGCGTAGTGTTTCGAGACTTGGGGCAACCGCCGCCAACAACTCACACAGACGCTCTGGGTGAGAAGAAATGGCCGAGCTCTCATGACAGAAGTGTAAGTGCGACAATCCCTTGAGGCAGGAAAGAAAAGATGCCCATGCTTCGGGGGTCAGTTGCATCCTGCCAAGTCCCACACCGTAGCTATGTGAGCCACAGGTCGACAGCCTCTTCACCTTTCGACCACTGGCAATCAGAGCCTCTGCAAGGAGAGAGAAAGCCAGATCATGCTCTCTGGCGATCTGTTTGTGCGGGAAGCGCTCCCTCTCGAAGTCGGGGTAGAAACCCAGCTGAGCTCTGAGTCTGCGCCAGCCTAGACAGGTGTCCCCTGTCCCTGCGGTAGGGCAATCTTGTAACCCGACCGATGACAAGTTGACAAACCGCCTCAGACAGTCTTGGAGAAGGATGATGGAAGTCGCCGAGGTCAGCGCGTGTTGATGGTCCGCCATGGCAGCCTTGTAGACGGCATAGTATGCCTTGCCATCGACTTGTTCAGAGTCCTGCTCCTGCTGGGATGTCCCCCAAGCCCCTTGGATACAATCCCACCGCGAAAGAGTCGAGTAGGGGGCGTTATATTCACCATTAAACAGCTCCGGGACAACCGTAAGACTCTCCACATGTTCGCAGATGCCCTCCTGCATGGAAAGCTCTGACAGTCGATGGAGCCCGTCGGTGGTGAGCAGGACGCAAATGCTGCGGAAAGTGCGAGTCGGCAGGTATCGGCCGTTGTAATGAAGAGCGACCGACAGGTCAGTCGAAGCGCATGCAAGGCGGGTATTCCCAGGTGTGTGCAGATTTCGGTCACCAACTCAACAGGAAGAGATATGATGGGCATTTTTGGGAAGTTAGTCGAGTGGATAGTCAGACTGTTGGATGAGATAGCTTCCTGGGTGAACCAAACTGCAAGATCTTATCAGTATGCTGTGGGATGGCTACTTACTGGACCATCTTAGAACGTGGGCGATGAGTTTGTTGAAGAAATAGGACAGCTCTGAGGACTGGCCGCCTCCCATTCAATATCTGTATTGGTTTTATCTTAGTGGATTTTATAAGTGATGCGCGTTCTAAGCCGCTGGGACTTGAATTCTGGTCGTTCACCAGATGGCCGAGCGGTTAACTTAATTACAGCACTGGAGAATTCAATCCTCAGCTAACTAGTCGAGTTCATCTAGATTAACCTTGGACGGCGGGCCGGGCCAGGGCCATAGCCAGGGAACCTCCATGGCAGGGAACTTAAAAAAGTATAGATCTCTCACAGTAGTAACATGTCGATCCGGGGCCACGGAAGGAATTCGTCAGAAGGATGAAGAATGACTAGTTAGTCAGTCAGTGAGGAACAATTGGGGCAGTGGATCCCCGCCGATCCCTTCTTTTTCCCCAACCCGGGCGGTGACCCGTGCGCGATTCAGTCATCGACCCCCGCGCCAGACTGAAGCTATTCCGACAGGGATAATATTCCTCTTTCCCACCTATACCACCATTTCACCTATCTTGAGCCTCCAGTATGACTTCTACCCACACCTCCCCTCTCCGCCTCGAGCCCGCCACCCTCGAGGACCTCCCCGCCCTCACCGACCTCTGGTACAATGCCTTCACTACCGACTCCATGCGCACCATCTGGCCCGACACCCCGGGCGTGCGACAATGGTGGCATGAAGCCAACGAGCACGACATGCGACACAAACCCGGGGAGAAATTCCTGAAGGTCGTCGACACATCCCAGAATGGTCGTATCGTCGCCTACGCCAAATGGTCCCTGCAGACGGCTGAAGAGCGCGGTGCTCGCTGGCCTGCCTGGCATCCGGACATGAATCCCGTCCATAATGATGCGTTCTTGAAGCAGCTGGAGACGTATCGCGCTGCGCTGGTGGGTGGAGGTCGACCTAATTATTGTATGTTGATTTGACGAGCTGGGATTGAAGTGTGGGTTGCTCACTGCTAGGGTAGATCTCGATATGCTCGCGACTCACTCCGATTACCGACGTATGGGGGCCGCTCGTATGCTTCTGGAATGGGGCTGTCGTGTCGCGGACCAGGACGGGGTCCCGGTCTATATTGATGCCAGTAAGGCTGGCAAGCCGGTTTATGAGCGGTTTGGCTTCGAGGATCGTAGCCATGTCTTTGGGGATACGGGTGCCTTGGCCCCTATGGTGCGGGATCCGCCGAAACGCGAGGCTTGAGGGGATACACTAATATAGAGGACCTGGTCGGGGAGTATATATATCAGTGGTTGATGATTGAGCCTGGCATAGTACTGCTTCCTACGGTTGCATTATACACCAGGCTGGGACACGGAAGAAGGATAGATATATTTATAGTACAGAACCAAGACCTGCCAACTAAACTGGTGGCCAAACCCCTACCCAATAGATACAATAGATCAGGTACTTCAACCACGCCGGACACCATAAGCTAAAATCCCACAACCCGCTCTATGTACATACTAACCTCGAAAATAACCTATAATGCTGCTTATCTATATCTTCGCCGGTCTCCGGGTTAGAGCATTCGTCAAGGTCAAGAGACTGTCTCGCTCCTGCACCGTAAACTCCCGGCGACCAGGGCCTCCCCGACTGCCATCACCGCCACCGCGAGCGCTGGCCCCCGTGAACAAGTCATCTCGCGCCTGCGACCGGTAGTCGGTGTGGAACTTCCACCGTTCCGCCAGGTCGGCGGGCAGCTGGCCTTGGAAGGCCTTGGCGATATATGCGCCGATTACAGGAAGGAATTTGTATGCACTAGTACCTCGTTAATATCGTCATTCAGACCCCTGAACTTGGGTTGGAGTACTCACTGTCCCGTACCGCCGGTCGCGACAAACACGTTTTGGTGTTCGGGATGGCGGTCAAAGATAAAGTCGCCCGTCGGGGTCTCGTTGTACCAGCAGAGACACGTCTTCTCAAATCCCCGCGACACTAACTCGGGTAGAATCTCCCCCAGTCCGGCCAGCAGGCGTTGCCGGCCTTCTTCCGGGATGAAGTTCGCGCGCTGTTGAATGGCTTCGCTGGGTGGGGAAGAGATGTCGGATGAGGACAAGGTGTAGCCGAAACTGTGACACGCCACCTTCAAGTATCCGGTCTGCTCATTGGGCGGGAAGCTGAAGAAGCCCGTGGACAGATTGAAGATGATGGGCAGGTCCTTCAGACGCTGGACCTCCTCCGGCGTGAGGCGTACAAATCCGACGATCTGCGCGGTGGCCACCATGGTGTTCCATGAGGGCACCAAACTGGCAGTCCATGCGCCTGTGGCCAGGATGAACTGATCGGCGGTGATGCGCCCGCCATCGATCGTTCGCACGGCAGTCACTCGGCCATCCAACCCTTGCTCCAGGCTTGTTACATGTCCATGGCAACCGGTAACAAAGGAGACCCCCGCGCGGATGCAGCGATCGCGCAGGCCGGTAATGGCAAGGCCGGCATCAGCCCATCCAGCGGCGTTGTTGTAGAATCCCTCGAAGCCTGCTCCGATGGGAGTGCCCGACACTGTGGGAAAACGAGCTTTCATGGCGGCCACACTATCAAGGGGGTGCCATTCGCAGCCCATATCCGTGAGGATCTTCTTGGTCTTGCGTATGAAGTCGGATCCGCCCGCCGAGACGAGACTGGCAGGTCCTGACTGTTGCGCCGTCCAGACACATGGGGTGCGATGGAAGGAGTCCGCATAGTCGGGACTGGTATTCCAAAGCTCGTAGGCATCACGGCCCATCTTTGCATAGACGGGATCGCCATAGTCGAAGCGAATAACGCGCGAGATGTCGTTGCTCGAACCATCGGGGACGGGCGGCATGGACCGATCCATCACTGTAATCGAGGAGAAGCCATCCTCGGCCAGGTGCAGGGCCGTGGAGAGGCCAAACACGCCGGCTCCCACGATCACGACGGACTGTGTCTTGTCCATATCCAAACTAACAAGAACATATTATCCAGGTATCAGAATGTAGAGTCATGGGACCCTCCCCCCCTCCAGGCCAGACCCCAGATTCTTAATGTGTTTTGAGACCAGGCATTGGTCGTTTGTTCTGCCCCGGCTGGGAACCGGGACCCGAACCGAGTCCGTCTTGGCCTGCGCCCGCAGCACTTGGATTCCTTCTCGTTTGGGTGAAGGTATCCTTGGATGTGGGGGGATTGGCTTGGAGGGATGAATGGCACTGCAGAGGCTAACCGTGGACCGGTTCCGTGGTGGAGAACTGATCATGCAGTCCAAGTGGCCAACTGAACTGGTGAACTGGCAGCTCCTCAGCCGGCTGACAGCTCAAGCTTTCCCTAGACCGGAAAACATTCAGTCCAAAGATTAAGGTAGACTAATAATAATCCTGATGGATGCAGTCTCTGGGGCTTGATTTCCCAATCGAGTGATGCATGTAAGGGGCCCCTCTGTTTGTCCCCTCCATCACAGGATGAGTTTCATCAGTCCGGTTCATTCTCCCTTATCGCTCCGTATCTGATTGCCAGCCGGCGGATCGGGCAAGGACCCCATCTGCCGGCCGTGTCTATCTCTGCCTCTGTATCAGGACCACGATAGTGTAGTGCGATGGGATAGGGCTGGATGTTAGTCCCATGCATCGGCCAGACGAGGAACCACGGCTGCCATCGCCGCCACGAGGCGTTCCGGTGCCAGAGAATCAAGGCTCCGTTCCGACCTCCTGATCGCTCTGGAGCCGGTGGACGGCTATGGAGCCGCTGCCAGGAGGGCTGGGCTGGGAGAGCGAGGATATGATAGAGATAACCAGATAGCCAACTGGGTATAAAGACAGTATCTCATCTCATCCTCAAGTCTGGTAGAACAACAACGACCCAGATCAATCTCCACAGTTCAGTCTTGAAACAACAAGAGCCTCTTTCCAGAGTCATTCACATACATTCAAACACGACATTTTAGTCTACACCCTTGGCTTGTACCATGGCATCTGCACTGTGGAACTACCTTGGCCTCCGCGAGGCCCCCACTGCCCCTACCAATGAGGCCGTGCGAGCCCTGCCCGCCTCGTGGTACACTTCGCAGGAGATGTTCGAGCTGGAGCGCCGCGCCATCTTCTCCCGCAAATGGTTGCTGACCACTCACAAGCTGCGCCTCCCCAATACCGGAGACTGGCTGCAGTATGAGGTGTCGGGCTTCAACTTTGTCCTGGTGCGCGACAAGGAGGGCAACATCAACGCCTTCCACAACGTCTGTCGCCACCGCGCCTTCCCCTTGGTGACCGAGGAGAAGGGGTCCGCTCGCATCTTCGCCTGCAAGTACCATGGCTGGTCCTACGGCCTCAATGGCAAGCTGGCCAAGGCTCCCGGCTACCAGGACCTCGACGGCTTCGACAAGAGCAAGAACAGCCTGCTCCCCATCCACGTGCACATCGACGCCAACGGCTTCATCTGGGTCAACCTGGATGCCGGCGAGCAGCCCGAGATCTCCTGGGACGATGACTTCAAGGGCATTGATCTGCAGTCCCGCTTTGCCGATGTCAAGTGGGAAGACTACACCTTCGACCACACCTGGGAGCAGGACGGCAGCTACAACTGGAAGATTCTGGCCGACAACTACAACGAATGCTACCACTGCGCGACTACGCACCCGGACATCCCGGCCCTGGCCGACTTGGCCACCTACTCGGTCGACACCAAGGACGGCGGTATCATCCACGACGCCCACTCCAAGCCCGACCAGATCGCGGCGGGGCTCAGGATTGCCAGCACCTACTACTTCCCCAATGCCTCCATGACCGTTTCGTAAGTGGACCCAGTATATAAAGACACCCCCCCCCCCCCCCCCCCCCCACCAGTTTCAAAATCCCTAACCGTTTCTCTGCAGGCCACACTTCTTCTTCATGCAGCGCTTTGTCCCGATCTCCCCCACCCGGTCGGTGATGAAGTACGAGGTGTACCGCAACAAGAACTCGAGCGACGAGGACTTTGACCTGATCAACACCATGTACAAGCGCATCATGTCCGAGGACAAGTACCTCTGCGATCTGACGCAGAAGAACCTCAATGCCGGAGTGTTTGTGAACGGGGAGCTGCACCCGAAGATGGAGAAGGGCCCCCTGTATTTCCAGAAGGTGGTGCGCGACGTGGTGACGGAGCACTTCCAGCGCGAGGAGAAGGAGGGTCAGGAGTACTGGCCGGCTCGCCAGCGCGTGCCCAAGGAGGCCGCGACGAGTGCGCAGGACATGCAGTTCTGCTCCAATCTGGGGTGTGGGGCGGGTAAGGAGTGCTGCTCGAACATCGGGGCGCAGCCACCGGCAGCGGTCGCCTGGTGAGGGGGTTATTGGTTCCTCGAAGGATCGGCAAATTTGGGAAAGAAGAGAGTTGTGCTATGATTCATATTGACGAGTTTTGACACATTTTTGGCAATCAGGTTAGCGATCTTTGTTTGATTTTGAGATATTGTACCGATTTAGAATAGTTTCTCTTTTAGCATTCTGCAATCTTTAATGACGTTCGACTGAATCAAGCTGTCAGTTTTTTTGTCGCGTAGTGCGTGTAGATAAGTAAATGGTGATCAAGAGGAGGAGATGGAATGGAAGGGCGGAGGGAAAGATACAGGGAGGACCAGCCAAGACGGGAAAAGCAGCCAAAAGAGGGGGGAAGAGACTAGACCACGTGCGCTCACCTGACCGGTGGGAAATTCACTCGGAGTTTCTCATGGCAAATCCGGGATACTAAGCAAGGACTAATGAGTACAAAGATGTTGAAGGTTACTTAATGATGATTTTAGGTTATCCCGGGTTAGTCACAGTGTCTAGTCCCAGTTCTTTTTGCTTCCCACGCCTGGTCTGGAATGTCCAACCGTCCCCTTCAAGTAGCAGACGCCCCAAAACCTGGACAGGGCGACGGGTCATGGCGGGGATTCCCAAGGACTGACAGGCCCAGCTGACCACTGGGGATGGAGAGAGTATTGGGTGAAAGTATGCGAGGGTGGCCATGAGGTACTACTAGCTACTATGAATAGCCCGGCCGCCGTGAATCGACCAGACTCGGCTTATCTTTCCATCGACACACACCGGAGATATGTGACAGTCGACGGGGAGAGTGGCAGATCCACCCTTCGCTGCTTGCTCTCCATCCAGGGAAGAGACGATAGTAAGTGACTACGTACAGTACCCGTACGGTACTACTACTACTTAGTAGATAGCGATAACCCTTCCACTCCCAACTGAGCAGTGACAGTTCCCAGGTTCCACTGCCAACCAACCTACAGTACCCTCTTTCTCTCTCCCCCCTCCTTGCTCCTTGCAGCTATTCGTATTATTGGTTGCTGCTTATCCCCCCCAACCCTCCCGCCTAGGTCCTAGTAGATAGTGGACACCCGAGTATATGCTCGCTCGAGCTCTCTCGTCTCTTCCTTTTCTAATCCAAAATCCCCTCCTCCGTTTCCCCCTCCTCCTCCCTCCCCCTCTTTGTTCCCGCGGGCATCGCGTCCCGTAGTCATCCCCCCCAGCATCTTTTCCAACCACTTCCTCTCTGACTTCTCCTCCTGGGACATATCATGACGCCGCCAGAGGGACAGCGTCGGAGGTTACGATCTAATCATGCTTGCTTGAATTGCAGGTACGAAAAACCCAAAGACTTCCTTGAATGATCTACCAAGAAGAGCCACTTACCAGCGAGGACAGAAGGAAGAAGACGCGGTGTCCGGGCGAGAAACCGGCCTGCTCGTGCTGTGTGCGGCTCAACCAGCCATGCTCGTATACACCCGTCACGAGGACGTCAATAGGCAGCCCATCCGTGGGTGCACCCGAGCTCCCCTTGACTTGGCGATTGCTGATTAAACCCCCTCTCCAGAAAGATCGGCTGGCAGAACTGGAAGAGAAGGTCAATCTCATTCTAAACGGTAATATGTAGGTGTTTTCTCCGCGCGATATTTTCCGGAGTGTAAGGGACTCATCAATTATCGCAGACTCGCTCGATCGACAGGTCCGGAGACGAAGTTATCGCCACCATCCCCAAGACGCCGCGATTCTCACACCCCATATCCTGTAGCATCCGGCCTGGGGGAGGGCACAACCCCTCATTCTTCCCCCTCCGTCATCGCCAGAGCGATCAATCTCTACGTGGAGCACTGTCACCGGCAGCCGGTCTGGTGTTTCGACTTTGACGGGCCAGGGGAGCCCGGCTCTCTCCCCGAGGAGCTGATTTGTAGTCTGTTGGCACTCACCTTGCGTTATTTACATGAGCAGGAGCAGGGACAGCACTATGCCGACGATGCAAGGACACTCATCATGCTGCGCATCGCCAATGGGACGGTGGAGCTGGCCACGATCGAAAGTTTATGTCTGCTGTCCTATTCCTCTTTCATCGGTATGTCTATCCCGGGGTGGTCAAGTAATGTGGGAAGCGATAGAGAGTGACTAATGCTATATTCTTCTGTTGTCGCAGATGGCAATACACACCTCGGGCAGTTCTATCTAGGCCTGGCGTCCCAGCTCTGTCGGGCGGCCATGCTAGATGTTGCGGTCGCCTATTCACCCGATGATCCACATATGGAGCGAAAGAAGCGGCTGTTCTGGAGTCTACAGTTGCTCGAGCAGTCATACGGCCGACAGACAGGAATCTTACGCACATCGACCGAGATCTGGCGCCCACCATATTTCGCTACGGATGGCGACCAGGACAGCCACAAGGCGACAGTGCCTCCGTCCCCGCCCATGCCGCAGGACAGCGTGGGATGCACGAACCCCCACGACACGGGCATCTGGAACATGAGCATCCAGTTCGGGTGGGTCTGGAGCAATGTCCGGGGCTATGTATCGGACTGTGCGCGCAGCAGAATGAAGGAGCCCTGGCGGCACGAGTCGATGTACTCGATGGTGCTCTCTGACCTCACGGAGATCGAGAACCGGACGCCCCTCTGTCATCGCTATGATCACGTTCAGTTCTATGAACGTACTGGCGAAGAGTTATCCTACGAGCTGTCCTACTGGGTGCCCTGGTTGAAGTTGCAGTTCATGTACCATGCCATCCTCACGGTGCTCAACCACCCGTTTCTGTACATCATGGCCTCACGCCAGAACCCCAATCTGGCCATCCCGAACAGCTTCTGGCGACGGTCCTCGGAGCTGGTGGTGCTGCATGCCACCTGGATTGTGCGCTTGATCGACATGGTGGTGGAGAAGGAGGTGCGCCTGTCCGATCCCTTTTTCGCCCATGTCGCCGCCATTGCCGCCACGGTGCAGCTGTACTACTGCTGTGCCGGGGACCCTCGTCTGAAATACAAGTCGCGGGTGGACTATGCCAAGTGCCGCGAGTTCCTGAGAACCTTTGCCACCACATCGCGGGCCTGCGAGGGCCTGGTAGGTGATCGTCATCCCCGGTTTGTAGAATGAGCAGCTGACTCCGTTTCTCTGCAGCATCGCATTTTGGACCAGATGATGCGCATTGCATCCGGCTCGGAGAACGTCGACTACGAGACCTGGCTCCCGTCCAAGATCTACTTGAGTATCCCTCTCATGTGGGACATCCTACAGTTCAACAGCACGAATCGGTCGGCGGGCGGGAGGGCCGACGGCCGCCTGCTGCATTCCTCACTTGCAGCATCGGCAGTCGGGCAAGGCTCCGAGGAAGATTCGACCCTTGAGGTGATCGTCACGACCTCGCCGGAGGTGACGGTCAACACGGCCGACGGGGGCCAAGCAGTGCCTCTGCCCCTGTATCGGTCGCCAGCGACCTCCAAGGCTAACGCGGCTGCCACCTCCATAGTGCGCGACACCCTCGTTGCGCCGATTGACAGTCTGATGGTCAATACCCCATGGCTCTGGGCCGATTCGGCTCCACTGGGCGACATGGAGAGCTCCCTGGGATATGCCAATTCCGGTCCGGGCGGCGGAGATGCGGAGTTTTCATCATGGTGGAATCTAGGCAACCTGTGAACCGGTCGAAACTTACGTGAATACCTAATACCAAGAATAGTCTTGCTTCCCGTTTTGATTCGATGGAGATAGTATGGCAACACACTCACTCTCACACACACAACCCGAGCGGAGACGTCGAAACCCGGCCATCGAGAGGGAGAAAGACAGACAAAGTGATAGCAAACGACAAGGATGAGGCGTCCCGACAAACCCCGCACGCACAAAAGAAATCCTCATCGTCATCCTCTCATCTTCTCCTCGTCTCCTCGTCTCCTCATCCTCCCCCCTTGGCTACTCGCCCCGCCTTTCAATCCACGGTCAACCTGGCAGTCCCTATGCGAGTTCTCCCTCTATTTTGAGTCTCTTCCCCCCATGAGCGAAACCCTCCAACCAAGAGACCATACGCGACACCCGTTCTCCGACCGATAGAAGCGAGGGCCATCGCCAATCCAACGAAGGCCAAAGCTCCTCCTCCGTAAGACGCGCTAGGACCCGCCACTATTTAGCACCGCATTGCCTGTTTGGGTCATCTTTTCCCAGGGATCCATATTTTTCCCCCTCGCGACTTTGCCTCCTCTGGATAAGATACGATGCGTCCGCCCCATCGGCCCGCCACCTGTTCCCCTCCCTGTCTTAGCGTCCTGCCCTTTGTTTGTTGTTGGGATGCCGGTAGCTTCAACTCCTTTCAACGCATGTCATCTCGAACAAACAGCCGCGTCGGCTCCGCTAGTTAGTCGGGTTTGATGCCGATCCCAGCCCGGACGTCTCGGAATGCCATGGAACTTCCTTCTTTGGACTGATAGAGCGCAAGGAAGACGACATTTGGAGCCCGGTACTGCAGATGTCCAGCAGTGGTTTTTTTTTTGGTGTGGTATGCTGCCTCTTCATGCTTATCGGCCATGAGTTTCCCGCGCAAACCGCGTCACCCCGAAGCAGGGGTCCGCACATGGCCACCTGCTCCATTTCCCGATGCCTGCTGGTGGACAGGCGGGCAGAGGTACGATGTCGCCTAGTATGCTATCAGATCTGCACCGCATACCACAATTCGCCAGCGCCAGTGTTGCAATGGTGATGCACTGACTTGACTTTGTGGGATGGCATAATTCTTATCCCCCTCCTTTACTCTCTTTTCCCCTCTTTTCATCATTGATTCGAGCCAATTCAGCTCCCCTGTCCCTACCAGCCTGATGGGGGCCATCTGCTGCTGTGGTAGCATGGGACGATATTGGGACATACTAATTCTTATACAGATTGCCCAAGCTTGTCCCTTGGTGCATATTCCCGTCTCAACATTAGTTGTTGTCTAGATTATCTAATATCCTCAGGCTGTCTAATATCTACTGATGCTCTTCAACCAGACCACGACTTCTACGACAACGAGCTCTGCAGCCATTCATGGGCCTGGCCATAAATCTCCTCACACACCTTTTTCCGGTACGCTCTTTCGGCCGCAGTTCCCTCCTGCCCATGCGTGAAGCCATGCGTACACCCTCGGGCCAAAGTCCACTTGTACGCAGCCGTCTCGAAAGGCGCCTCTTGGTCCTCTTTGTCGTGCAGTCCCGCCAGACGGTGGATCATCTGCTGGGCCTCCAGCCGTAGCATATCCCACTGGGCCGCAATCATGTAGATGCGCGGAGGCAGATCTTCCGGTTTGGCATACCAGGGACTCAGCAGCGGATCGCGCCGGTTCTGTCCCACACAGACATAACCCCAGTCCAGAGCCCACGCCATCATGCCTATCTTGTCCAAGGGCCCATCCGTGTAGGGGCGGGAGGCTAATTTGACGGGCGGGGGATGGCCAAAGTCGACAATCGGGTAGTATACGACGGCAGCCTTGACCCGTCCATGCAGAGGAGGCAATTGTGACACCGACAGAGCCAGATTCCCGCCCGCACTGAACCCCCCAATGGTGATGCGATCGGGATCAATGGGCAGGGACTCATCCGCCAGCACGTCCTGGATCTGGGCGACTAGATCGTAGGTGGCAGTGGGGAAGGGATGTCGGGGCACGCGGCGGTAGTCCAAGCTCACGACCAACATGCCGGTCCGCTCGGCCCAGGCAACGCAGAAGCGGTCATCCACCTGGGCGTCGCCCACGGCGAAACCGCCGCCATGGATGTTCAGGTATAAGGGCAGCAGCTCTCCCGTGCGATAGTTGGGCGGGAAGAAGATATGGGTGTTCAGCATGGGGCGAGATGGGTAGCGACGGACGAAGGTGGGCTGGTAACGCCGAGGAGGCTGCCTAACGAGGCGCCGATAGTAGAAGTAGATGGCCGCCAGGGATTTCAGCAGCCATAGTCGAATGAAGCAGTCCACGCGGTGCCAGAAAGGCATGCGCACCTTCCAGAGAGGGGGAGGGGATTCGGCGGCGGTGGTGTCGGCCGGCTCCTTCATGGGTGCAACTGGCTGGTGAGACAGACGGAGAGGAAGACACTGTCTGTCTCAACAGAAAAAAAAGTTCACGGAGGGACAGCAATTAGCGCGTTGTGGACGGAATCCTTTCCAGACACACAGCCTCCCCGTCCGACTAGCGCTCCCGTAGTCACGATATTGATAAGTCCAAAGCCATTATCTCCCACCCCAACCCCCAACGATCTCATTGCGTTAAGTAGTTGCATCGCGCAGAGAGACAAGAATCACCGCGTAGTCACATCTCACAATAGCCATATTTCACCGCTCCGCACACGCTGGTCCAAGGAGAAGGGAAGATGATGTGTGACCGTCTTGCAGTGGCTGACATGGCTGGATGAGCGCAAGAGATTGTTGAGAATCGACTGTGGAGGCCTGTTAAGATTGATCAAGAGTCAGAATTTCCATCTTGTTTTTTTCGCAGTACTAATCAGTAGTGGAGAATACAGAGAGAGAGAGAGAGAAAAGGATCGATGCGAGGCTCGAACGCGAAGACTGACCTTCTTCCTTCTCCTACCTGCTCAATTGAAGTTCTGGCAATTGACATCGAGTGCTTTGACAAGAGTCCAATACTTATTTGGTCACTAGTTAGTAGAGAAGTGTTGTGTTTCTGTGTCTCTCTTTGGCTGGACTTTCCCCGCATCTTGCTTACCTCAGCGGTTCCTTGTCTCCGCATCTTCGGTCTCAATTGATTTTCCCATCTCCTCATCTTCTCAACTACTCCTACTTTCGTTTTTGTCTCCAGGCCTCCATCTCTGTCCACCCTCTTTCTTTTCGTCTTGTATCTCCCGCCGAGCGCTCTTATTTGAGTCTACCTATTCCCAGAGTTCTGCCGGATTGGGTGTTTATCATGCCTGCAAGGCTCCTTCCTGCTTCTCCTTCCCACACTTGGGCGAACGGATGAAAGTGGGTTCCTTTATGTCATCATAACATCATAACCATCAGCAGCTTCTCCCCTCTTCTTCTCCCGATCAGCCTCAATGCTGCCCACACTATCAGATTCTGCTTCTGATTTCTACTTCTCGGTCACTCTTATCTTCTGGTTTCCTTCTCGAATCTTCCCAGATCCCTCCTTGCCGCTTTGGTGCCA